TCGAACGGGAAGTTAAATGTTTCTTTGTCCTAAAAAAATAGATATTTAGAATAGTAACGTCACAGAAAGTCTGTTAATTGTTTTTCAGTAAAATTTCGTTTTTTTTCAAGGCGGCGAGGGGACTATGCATTGAGAAAACCTACAGGGTGCGTCAAAAAAAAAAAGCCAAGTTTGCACCAAAATATCTCGCTTATCTTTGAGAATCGAAGGTACGTTACCATGCCAGAATGCTTAAATATGCTGGGTATGAAGATTTAACACAACTTTATTTTTTCGATTTTTGAGTACGCAACTGTACTATTGACGCTGGTTACGACCGAAAATTGTGCGTTCTTGAACGGGTGGTGGGAAAATTCTGATTTTTGGCCTATAGATAGTTGACATTTGTAGAAAAATAATAGCAAAGTCTTAGAATTTTTGAAGGTTTAGTTCTTTTTTTTACATGCAAAACAAATTTCCCTATTTTGCTTATTTTTACTTTTTAATTCGCAACTCTCTTCAAATACGCTGCCCATGGCTGATCTTTTGCAAATGGTGTCTCCGAATGATAATCTTTAGCACAACACCAAATTTTACCTGATTCTATGGTATTTTAATATTGCTTGCTAAAACGTGCCCCAGAGGGATACTGTAGTTTTTGTTTTTCGCGTTTTTCTTTTTATTGTCGGCTGCGATTTCGCTTAAAATATTATCATTGGTAAACACCAGTAAGGGTCACCTATGGGCCAAATATCGTGGAGTTTTAGCCATATACCTTCCCAAAATATGCAAAAAACTTATTTTTGAATTTAGCCACCGAAATTTCTAAATATTTTGATGCAACGGACTGAAAACTACTATTATTTGTTTTCCCAAAAGATCGGAACGTTTCTATGGTGAAAAGAACGAGAAAACGACGATTTTCTGTTTTCTACCGTAACCCGTCTGGAGCACTTTTTAGCATGCCAAGACAAAATGCCATAAAATTCCGATTTTTCTATTCTAGACTGTTGTCTGGGCGATTGTAAGAGCACCTACAAAAAATTACTTTATTCCTGTGGCAAATGACAAAGTTATGAAGGAAAGAAGAAAACCCTCCCCGGGGCCCGATTTTGGACCCGACACCCTGCCCCGAAAATCGAATTTTTGAAAATGAAAAAGACCCCGGGGTTTGGTGGATACAATTAACGTACGCATCGAACAGTGTATAAAAGCAGAATACTGGAATGATCTGGCTGAATTTAATGGTTAATTTTGATTTAAAACCCGAAAATCACGTTTTTGAAAAGCCGACTTTGGGGAACTCTTCTAAATTCGTTTGCCATGAAAAGGTTCTGTATTTGCACGGGTTCTGGTTGACTACCCAAGCTTGGTCTATGCCAGAAAAGTCGAGGCTACTAGAGCTTCGAGAATTTTTTTACGTCGCCTCGAATTCGGGTATATTTGCACTTTTCATGAATTTCTTTTGAGAGATTGGATGGCCCAATAAATTTCTAAATATAATTTTAGAACGCGCGCATTAAGTAGTATTAAATAAAATTATGACAATAATTCTAGCCGCGCAAATGAATTTTATAGATTGGCACGAAGATCTGCGAAATAGCACGAACCAACCGTTTTGGAGGCGCTAAAAGGCAACCTTCCAAAGGGATACGGTAGCTAGAAATTGTGTACATGGTAGATGTTCCCCAGTCCTACACAACCAAGCAAAGCAAACACCGAAATTCTATCTGCAATTTTAGAAATATTTTTCCAAAGTTCAGTTTCGAGACCTCGAAAGAATCCATGACCAGGGGGTCGTCGAAAAACTCAAAAATTCGCGGATCTGAAAAAATTCTTTGATATTTTTGTGGGATTGTATCGAGCCTATAGAGATGCTAAAACAGCCTGTTTTGAGGTTTTCACCATAGGTTTTTGTAATATCCGAAATTTACGAAATTTCTCCATATTAAATTTGAGCATGCTATAACTTGCCAACCAGACCTTCGAAAATTCCAAAATTCCGGATGTGCGTAGGGGCAGTCCTTAGGTACCTACACTGTAAAAATTGGAAGTGTTCGACCACCAGCAATCCTAAAAAATGCAAACGAAGTTTTGCCGGAACGCACAGTTTTCGGGTGTCATTTGTATGGGTACGTCGCCAAAAATCGAAAAAATCAAGTTGTGTTAAATCTTCATACCCAGCATATTTAAGCATTCTGGCATGGTAACGTACCTTCGATTCTCAAAGATAAGCGAGATATTTTGGTGCAAACTTGGCTTTTTTTTTTTGACGCACCCTGTATAAAAAATTAGATTGCTCATTTGGTCAGAAAAATCCACGTTTTTCGTAGCTTTAATAAAAATTTATAAAGTTTTTTACCCTTAGAAATAGTTGAAAACGTTTGAAAACACTTTTATATTAGAAAAATAGATTCTCCAGACTGATTAAAAAGCACCCCAGTCATCGTACCACGCCCCGCCTGACAAAAGCCCTAGAAAACTACCTTTTTCGCTTTTAGCACGAGATTAAGTGTCGAAAGATGTAGGTGGGGGTTTCGCGAACGAAGACATTCATGCTCACGGTGGGTTGAGAAGAGACAGGGAAATACACACTAATTCCCCCAAAACCTCCCACTCAAACAGGGGCACGAGGCCGGGAGGATTAGGGGGGATATGCTGGATCTGTGTAGCGAATTCAGAAAGGGAAAAATAAATCAGATTCTTAACAATGAAAGTTATAAAGTTGGCGAGAAAATGGAAATATGCGTAATAGCGGTGAAAAGTTATATTTTGCAACAGGAAATGCATAAACCTAGGCCTAAAAAATTCACTAATTTTCGCGTACATATTAAAATTTAATAAATTGACGAACAGATAAAAACCTTAATAGCGTTAAATAGTGCTGCAAAAATTTTCATAAAGCAACAAAAATTACAAAACTAGAAGCGTTAAAAAGACACAAAATCGTCCGATCCTTCTGCTGTATGTTGCGACTCGCAAAGCCCTAAAAATAACCCCCCGACGTACCTAATCGAATATTCCGATCCTTTACAACCCGTCGACACGGCATATGCAAAGAAGAAGCATCAAACACACGCCCTATTCGCTTTCATCCACTTGCAAAAGCCGCGTGCCGCAGAAAAAGGAGGCAGCAGATAGTATTTCCAGAAGCACGAACAATAAATTGAAAAAATTCGCAATCAAGGGAGGAAGAAAACGAACGCTCCCTGACGCTGCGCACGCTAATGACGGTGGGAACGCTGAATTATAAAATAGGGGTTTAGAGGTCTGAAGAATATCAGCATCCTGTCACAATCCCTATAAAAAGGCGGTACTTGACTATTGGCGGGGAGCTAGGCTCATCCTACAGGTCCTTAGGGTTCGAATAATCAAAAATGGAGCATTTATATAGTTTTTTTATGCGTTTTTAATTAAACAAGTTCGTAGAAAAGCATTAAATTGTATGCTTTTTGTCAAGAATGTATGAAAACAAAAATGTAAATTTTTGAAAACCTGGGAGGACTGAAAAGCTACTAAAAACATATATATATATCCACTATAAAACGCTAACAAATTTTTGCTATTGACGTATTTATGCCCCGTCCCCCCGCTAACAGTCCAGTACCTTAAATGTCAGGATCCCTGGGGTCCTGCAAAAACGTCTAACCCCAAAATTTGGCTCACCGGAGAGAGCTAAAGAAAAAGAGGATGCTGGGGGTTGAACTCGAGCGTCCCGGGGGCAAATTGTCTACATGTGGTGGGTGTGCCTGCCTCGTTGAAGGGGGCGGGGGCTCCTATGTGCCCATAATGAGGACTGACCGAATAATTCAGGACACGGCCCGGACACCGGACACCCTTCTCTTTTTTTTGCTAGGGGCTCACCTCAACCGCCTTCAGGATGGGCCAATTGAATAATAGGTGAAGCGAGCCGCGGCCCCCAGCCGACGATACGCCACAAATATTTTGGCTGGACAATTGGGGATGCCTTTAAAAGGTTCTGGTTGATTATCCGGGGGTCCATTTTCCTCAGGAATCCCGTGCCGGGCCCTATCTTCTAATTTCAACTGTTTTTATAGCATTTCAGGCTGTTTTCCTAGCTTGAAAACTTCATAAAAATGACGAAACTTTCGCTACGTATAGATTTTTGCTCAAAAAATGAAAATTACCAAAAACGGCCAAAACTTCCAAATTTTCTAAGCTTTCAAAAAGCCTTATTTTACTATACTAAGTCGCTAACAATTAAAAACTACTAAAAACTATAAAATATTCTATTTTACACCCGGCATCTCTGAGCGGAAAGGCAATAATTATCTGCCCCCGCTAACACAAAGCACCAAAAGTACAGTTATCGAAATAAAAAACCTCTGCATATCAGAAACCAAGCTGTGTTGCAATACAACTTTTTTAGCTGCACGTGCCCCCAGGTAATCTCGCTGTTTTCGCCCGCCCTTTGTCAGCACAGACCCACTCAACAATGGGCTTCCGCCTGGACCCGTTGGACACAGACACACTACCCCCGATGCAATACACAGCCAAATTATCACCCCACCGTACCGCCCAGCAACTTGAACCCACCCAAAAAAGTTGCGAACCAGAATCACCGCAACGACAAACTAAACCCACGCTCAATTATCCGCATCCTTTTCATCTGGTTCGAGGTCTTGTGACTGCAATTACACGGACCCCTCAAATGGCCCAGGCTGCGCGCACACAATGTCGGGAATCTAGGGTGATGTTGAAAAGAGATGTCATCTAAAAATTGCAACTATAGTTTCCTTGGAGCCGGGAAAATTGGGTGTCTCTGAAGTGTGACTGTAACAAGGCATCCACTCAACGCTCAATGTTTTATGAAAGTAACCATAAATAAAATACATGTATCGAAGTCGGTGAAGAGGATGAAAAAGGCTGACATTAATGGATGCTCAAAATGGAGAGGAGGAACGGGTTTGAAAGCTGAATCACAAAAGTTTACATCTACACCGGCATCAATGAGAACAAGGTTCCGTGTGGCGGTACCGTAAGATCGCTGGAGTAAATCATTCATCGTGAGGCTCGTAGGCGATGTCGCGGCCAAGTTCTTGGGCAAATTCGTAGTACAGCTGGGAGACGTCGCGGCCAGGGTAGCGGATCTTGCTGTCCGGAGTGATGTGCACCACTAAAAAAGTGATGTTGAAAACGGTCTCAAGCCTCGAATTACAGATAAAATATAGAAACTCACAATTGCAAACACCTCCTGAACCGGCATCACGGTAAGTGGCGTGCATAATAGCGCGCCATCCGAGCGCTTTCGCCTCCTCGTCGGTCATTTTTGCCTGAACAGATAATTTCCGAAAGAAGCTGTTACTATACCTTCCAATGGTTATCCAGAATTCCGTAGGCGTTCAGCGAACCGGAGCCAACAGAACAGACCTTGAGTTGAGAGCGATCACCCTCAGAGTTGACCTGAAATTAAAAATAGATTTGAGAACACCAAAACAAGAAAACTGAGCAGTTAACTAACGTACCATGAAGATCGCGGGGCCGCGCTTGTCGAAACCGCAAACCATAGATCCCTAAGAAATTACGAGGTGTGAGTTGCAAAATTACCACAGAGAGCCCTTGTCCTTTGTATTCGTAGAGGGCATTGGCAAAGTATTTGCTTGCTGCTGCGACCGTGATCGGCGTCTTCTCACGGAGCTCGTAGAGGCTGAAGTCGAAAAGGTCGACGAAGATGAAAATGGCCTACGTGCAATATTTAGCAACGACTCGAGTCCAGAACTGGCAATCGGCGGCACCGCCAGCCATTGTTGCCACCATTCGATCACCAATGTCGAGAACCTTCATCACCGATTTCGAAGCTGTAAAAAGATTCGGTAACCAAGAGCGCCAGAAATTGTGACGTCACAGCTAAAACCAACAGATATATTCTCCGGCGGAAGCACGGGAGTCGACAGCAATGATGATACCTCCCTTGTCATTAGGAGTGGCAGGCTCGTAGACGAAAGCAAGTGTCGTGGTACCCTAAACAAAATCTAGTAAACACGTGAGGTAGTAAACATTACCTTGCGGAACTGGAGATTCTTAGCATCTCGTCCAAAGTGGGCACCGACAAATTCCTTAGCCTAAAAAGAAATAATATGAAGATCGGGTAGATCAACCTGGATTCCCAGAGGAGGCTGTGGGAATGAGAAGCGGCTCACCGCAGGCTCATGAAGGAACTCAGCCTAAACAAAGTGAAAACAGCATTCAAAAACATACCTTGAACTCCTCGTGTCCCCGCAAATCCTCGTTATTCGACTCGGCGATGGTGCAACCCCACATCTATAATTTATTTTTCATTCAATACGAAGAAAACTTCGAAACCCATTAAATCAAGGAAAACGAGCCGAAATGTAAGACGAGGAAAGGTTTGTAGATTCAGTAAATGACGTACAAACGGCACAGGGAATCACAAGAGACCAAAAGTTCACAAATCGCAGGAAAAACGTCGGTGGTGGATGTGTAAGGTAAATGAAATGAGAGATAGACAAATTACTTCCAAAGCTTCTTGATAGACATGTTCTTCTCGGAATCCTTGGTCATCACTTTGCCGACAGCCATCTCGAAATCCTCCTGGGTAACGTGAATGCGTCTTTCACGCAGGGCGAACATGCCGGCTTCTGTGCACACAGATTTGACTTCGGCACCGCTGGCTCCAGGGATCTGTTCAGCGATTTTCCTCATGTTGATACCGCGCATCAAGTTCATCTTTCGCGAGTGGATTTTCAAAATATCAGCACGGGCAATCTCATCAGGGGCTGGGAACTCGATTTTCCTATCGATACGGCCAGGTCGCAGGAGGGCCGGGTCCAGGATGTCAATTCGGTTGGTGGCCATGATGACCTTGATGTTCTTCGTCGCCTCGAATCCGTCGAGCTGGTTCAAAAGCTCAAGCATGGTGCGTTGAACTTCAGAATCTCCTCCGGATTGGCCTTCCACGCGACTGCTTCCAATCGAATCAATCTCGTCCATGAAAATGATGGACGGAGAGTGCTCACGAGCCATCACGAAGAGTTCACGCACCATCCGCGCGCCCTCACCGATGAATTTCTGGACAAGTTCCGAGCCAGAAACACGGATGAAAGTGCATTCAGTGTGATGAGCGACGGCACGGGCTAGCAGCGTTTTTCCAGTGCCAGGCGGGCCATGCAAAAGCACACCTTTTGGCTGCGCAATTCCGAGGGCCTCGAAAAGTTCGGGGTGCTTGACAGGCAGCTCGATGACTTCTTTGATTTCCTTGATCTGCTTGTCAAGTCCTCCCACCATGTCGTACGTCGAGTCTGGCACTTTTTCGACCATCATCAGGGAGACGAGGGGATCGACTTTGTTGGGAAGAACCTTGTGGAGCGCGTAAGAATCCGCACGAAGGGCGACACGGCATCCGGTATTCAAGAGAGTCGGGTCGATTTTCGGGTCCAAGTCAACGACGTACTTGCCCTCTGGGTGAACTTTGACGAGCACCTTCTTCTTGTCCATCGGCTTGCTCACTTCTCCAACGTATGAACCTTGCTCGTGAAGCTGTTGGAGTTCCTCTTTCAACATCCGCACCTTTGAGTTCAGCTCATTGCGCTGCGCTTGGAGACGACGCACATTCTGGCTTTTCTCGAGTAGACGCTGCTGTCCATCCTCCAACTTTGTCTTGTAGTACTTCTTCAGCGTGAGCTCCTGCTCGCTGCCGACGGGCTGAACCGTCTGCAAAGCACCGGCCATCGGGGGCATTGGCGCCATTCTGAAACAATCAGGTAGGTAAAAAAAATACTATTTGAAAAAGTATTGCACCGAAATCGGCGAAGCAAAACCACTTGAACCGTATTGTACAAAGACATTTATCGTAAGGCAAAGAATCACAGAAAGTTGGCAAATTCTCATGGGAAAGTGGATAACAAGAACAAAATTGGGTCCTTATACTAGCAAGCTAGGAGGAAACAAAGTGAAGCGATGGCAAATGGTAGAAAAGTGCTTAGTCGGCGTGCGGTCGTTGGGTTCGCTGTGTCGGTGCCCAGGAGTTGGCGAGGATGCTGGCGCAATACATAGCACCAACGTGGATCTGCATTCCAAGAAGGAAAAAGATGTACCAGATGATGACCATTGGGAATGTTCCCTACAAAAATATACATTATTAACCAAAAACAAACCTTGAAAGTTGGCGTCTGACTGTCTGGGTTGAAGACGTAATCAAAAAGTTCGGGCAGTTGGCCGCCAAGTCCCATCATGATCGGGACGATTCCCGTCAAAAAGTGTCCATAGTAGAAGTAGTTGATATATTTTAACTAAACAAAGTAAGAAAAATAGAGTCAGACGCTTACGTTGTTCCTCGGGAATGCCATAAAAGCCAGGATGTTGACGAAAAAGGACAGGCACCACACGTACTCCCAGGGATAAGCCGATGGCGCGTCTATTCTCTTGAGCAATGAGAAGTTGAAGCCAAAGTTCTTTTGCAGAACTTCCCCGCCGACCTAAACAAAATAATCAGCGTTTCTTTAAAGGTTACCTTAATCCAAAGGAATATCGCAACGAGGAAATGAGGGACAGCGAGCCATGTGAGGTAGTTCTTATATTGAGCACTAAAAAGTTTATAAAACCAGGGAAAAACGTAAATAGAGTCGTAATACGTCAAAAAGCAATAAAAGCCAAGTTTAGCGTTCTATACATCTGTTTTACGCCAGAAAGTCAGAAAGTAAAATTTACCTGATTTGATAATGCGCGGCTACCCGTTGCCGATGCTGGAAATCGGTGCCGTCTGTGCCCTCGGCTCTTGCTCCACCCTTCGATGACATATTTACCCTGGAAAATGGAGGGTTTTTAGCGAATTATAATCATGGGTTGGAAAATCGCGAAAGATGCGACAGAACTATTTTGTGAAGTGAAAGAGTGAGGCCGGGGAAACAGTGACATTACGCGAGGCGTCTATGGACGCTGACCAGACCGGCTATTGAAAGCCAGTTGGCCAGGGGCGAAAGGCTAAAAATGGTGCCGCGGGGGTGCAAAAGCCATGCGGATGAACTTTGGAGTCGGATTGTAGAGTGTAGGCCCGTTTGGACAAGCTTCAGGTTAGGGCAAAATGTGTATCAGGAGGCCCGAGCTTCTCCAAAAACGGGGTAACTAGAAGAAATAACAGCAATTGGGAAAGGACGCTCTGTATACCATCAAAATATCCCTTTTTTGAAAAACCCATCCTATGTCTTCATTTTCTTGATTAAAATATAAGGGCTGTTCCAGAGGGTGCAATCGGTCGTGCCTTTCTAAAGTGACAAAATGCCTCCTTGGCGATAAGATATCCAAATACAAAGTTTTACCTAAAGCTCATGTGAATGTAAGCTATCGACGATTGTGTGTTAGTGAAAATGTAGTTCCTCCAACGTGTTGCCTTGAAGGAGATCGTCTAAAGATGCCTACCACCGAAAATTTCCAACACATTGTCCTACCAAAACCCAAAACCACCAGCTTGTTTTTATTTTTCGAAGATTTACGCTTTATCTCTAAATCTCCCCCATCTCCATGAAATTGGGCGTTAGGGAAAACAGGAGAAATGGCGGGTCAGAAGGAGAGCAAATATCCAGTGGCCCCGGCCGAGGACCTCCCCCCACAGATCCTACAATCCTGCCGAGCATTGCTAGCTAATCCACTCGCTAAATGAGCAAGTCTGAGCTTGAGCTGTTCTCGCTGCCCGGCCGAGGTCGTGCCGAATGTCTGCGTTTGATGCTGATCTTTGCCGGGAAACCTTTTATCGACACCCGGATGACCATCCAGCAATGGAAGTTGCACCGTAAGAGAGGTTAGTATAACGCTAGATAGATTTTTATGCGACCAAACCGCGCTTTTACTAATCCAGATACTAATAATAGCTGCACAAAAGAAGTTGCATAACTCCTCTCGTACCAGTAAAACTTACGCTCCAGATGAAACGGCCCGGATCTAAGTGTTGCGTAAATAGATCCGAGCATAGTTTGGCTCACACATTTTTTGCCAACGCTGTTCCTATTTTAGCTAGCCTCGATGAACAGACGAAACTGCCCGTGCTCAACGCCGACGGCGCCAAGAAGGTTATCGTCGGCGCCGTCGAGATTGGCCGATTTCTCGCGCTGAATTTCCGTAATAAGGCCGATAATCCGCGACCCGCCTTTTAGATCTGTATGGAACAAGCAGCGGCGAGCAAGAGCAAATCGACCAAGTGATTCGGCAATGCGAGACGCTCAACCACGAGCTTGGCCCAATTATCAGGACGACGCTCACCAAGAATTTCGAGCTGCGCGTGGGTTTTTTCGATTGCTTCAAGGGATCAACAAATTCAGCGCGATCTCTGGAATGAGTACAAAGAGAAGACGCTGAACAAGACATTGGCCAAGTGGGAGGAGGAATTGACTAGTCGTCCGCATTTGGTCGGCAATAAGGTGGGCCGGAAAGTAGGAAAAAAAATGAGTTTTTAGTACACATGGGCCGACATCAGTGTGATCGAGTTGCTAACCAGGTTCCAGTGCTGCTACGATTCGTTTTTCATGGCAAATTGGCCAAATTTGAAAGGTGACAAATTGGCAAGGCTAAAACCCGGACCAAAAAAAATGAAACATTTCGATTTCAGGCCTCATCGAGCGCTTCGAAAAACTGCAAAACGTCGGGCCGTACATGCAAACCCGGCCGGACACTAACTTTTAAATAATACGTTTGTTCGTTTCTCAACTGTTCTGCATTTTCCGCCAAAGTCTCTTTGGGGCACAATTTGTATTCATTTTCAAACGATCAACGATAAAATGAGGATAATTAGAGGTGACAACAAAAGACAAAGTAACAAATGAGATTTCGGGGGCAGACATACAAACCTAGACACTAGCACACAACGGAGGATCACTTGTTCGTGGGGTACTGGAAAAGGGTAGAGAGGCGCTTCAGGGATAATATAAATACAAGAAAACGAACAGCGGGCGTGGAAAAATATGCAAGACCAGTCTAGAAAGAGGGCCAATTCCGCGGAATCGGCTGACACGTTATAACGGAAGTTTTTAGGATTTTGTCTCCTTTTCTTCTTTTTAGTTGTTTTTTTGACTATACAGGCACATCAAACAATCAATGTACAAATAATGGGTGGGCGATAAGGGAAAGGGGGTAAGGCGCACCAAAATGCATCAATAATAAACCGAACACTGACACACACTGGGGAGGAATATACTGCTTTTTTTGGTTGGTCCTATTGCATGCCGCTAGACTCAAGTTGCGAGGTGAGCTCCATGAATTGATGGTAGAGGTTGTCGAGCTGTACGACCAAAGCCTGGTTCTTTCGGCGAAGCGCGTTGTTCTCCTCTTCCTAAAGGAATTAGTAAGCTTTTGCGAAAATGCGGGATTATAAAGTTTAAGTAAAAAAAACTTACGATCTTGAGGACGCTTTCTTGAGAGGGCGACACGCGGGGCTGGTTTTGATGGTACCTAAAAACACAGGTTCGTTAACTGAGGAGTCGGACTTACCGTAGTTGGTCAATCTCCCTCTTGAGCTCCGCGATGAGCGAAGCCTGGTCCTGGATGGTCTGGCTCTTCTGGCGTTCTTCCTCCTCCTTGCGCATGCGCCAGTTCTTGGCGAGCTGCGCCTTGGAATTTGAGGCAACGGCCTTGGTGGGTCGGCCCTTCTTCATCCGTTGACGGGATGTCCCGGCCAATGGCGCCTGAAATTTTGAAGATGTTATGATGTTGGTTTTTGTAATAAAATATAAACTATTTTATCGCGTTTTTAGTAGTTTCCGATCGCTAAAAAGTTATAAAAAATCCTTAAAAAACTGATATCTGGACCATTTATCAAACCTTTTGGACTAACTAGTAATAAGTGCTCGATATTTAAATAATTTTTATAGACTTTTCCCACATGATAAAAGGGGCCAAAAATGCTTTCAAAATGATCCCTGTTTTTTAATAAGGCGCATTCCAAACATCGGTAAAAGTTAAGCTTTTTAGCTAAAATTAAATTTAAATAAAAATTGTTAGCCTAAATTGAATTCCTTGTGCAACGTAATGCCGTTTCATAATACACATACTAACCTGGCGAGAGGTGGTGCGTCGGGGTGGGAGAGTGGCGAAAGGCTTCTGCTCGACGGGCTGCTGTAGGTCCGGGCAATCGGTGATCACGTCGATTGGGGAGGCAGGTGATCCAGGTAGCTCCATGGCGAAACTAAAAAGAGATCGTTTATGATTGCACTGGCAGCGAATAACGCACATGTCCCAAACTTACCGTTGTGGCGACACTGGAGCTTCTTGCGGGAAGGACTGGTTGAAGATATCGTCGAAGAGCGTCTGATTATCGCCTGAAAAGCAAGGTTTTTGGAAAATCATGATGTAATGAAAATTTCTTTCATGTTATTATCATTATAACTTTTACTATGTGACCCTCATTAACTACCACATCCTGCTATAGTATAAGCAATCGTCACGCTGTGCCTCGGATAAAATCGTTCATATTAACCGTTTTCGTCATGCTGTGCAAACTTATTATTTCTGGCTTAAAATCGGATGCTACGTGTGTACTGATTTGTTATTGACGAAGAAAATTTATTGCCACGAGATGCCGACCGAAATTCGCCGCTGGCGCATGCCCTAAATATTAAAAATTCTAATAACTCACCAAAACTATCGTGCAGCGTTGATCCGGTCTTCGGAGACCAGGGTAGACCATCAATACTGATAGGAGACTCGCTACCTGGAGTCGGAGCACCCATCCACACGTCGACGCTGCAGTTTGAGGCCATTATGGCCGGCTGGCTGAGCTCGTCGACGGTTTCGGGTCTCCAATGTTCCAACGGACTGTGGCAGACCGACTGGATATCTGGAATTGGGTCATAGGTATAAGACCAGTTCTCCACAGACATTGTCAAGGACTTTGAGCAAGAGGTGATAGGATTATGAATCGATTACTGGCTTTTCTGTTTATTGCAACCTGCAGAAAGTGCAACAAAGAGCGAATGATAGGGAGAGAGGGCAGAGAGATACCTTGCTGAGTCATGCATAGAACCCGCACTTTCGAAACTGATGTTTTTGGGTCTCGCAGCGCGGCGACTGGGGTGGGAAGGTGGCGAGAGAGCGCCGAAAGAATGAGGGATTGGGGAACGAGCACCGGGAAGGTGGAGGCTCCAGAGAAAGAAGGGCAATAGACTCTCTTTCCCGCATTAGCCGCTAGCCAAAAGGGTAGAATAAAAATCGGTAAAACTGTTGAAAATTCTTTAAATTACTCTTGAGCCTTCGAACCGACAAAGGGAAGTTGTAGTAACCGGATTTGGTATTTTGTCAAGCGATATACTGTCTTAATACGAGGTATCTGTAAGTTTTAAGAAACCAACTAATGCGAGTGATACCTAGAAGTATTTAAGGCGTTTGTGGTATGACAGCGATACCGCATGTGCAGTATGAAATGGACCCAAAAACCTAATAAATCGCAGCATAAATTTCGGTCCTAGTCAATGGTGTACTTTCAACGCGGCAACAAATCTCTGGTCAGGACCGCATCCCTTTAGTGTCTAAAACGGGAAGCCATTCATACTTTATACACTTTTAAATGTGATTAAAAATGCTCCGGGACACGTATGTATATTATGCCGTAATAACACTGCCGGTCGATGACGTGTTGCAGAAAATACAATCTCAGCAATCGGGAAAAATCTACCCTGCCAACCTAAATAAACGTTGAGGACGTCTGTATAGTCCCGCGACGCTCAGTATTAGCCACACAAGTCAAATGCTTCCACAAGCCTATTGATTTTCGAAGCCTTACGCGATTCAACCCGTCACGAGCCGATCCCCCTAGCATTGCACAACACATTGTCGACTGGCTGGCAATTCGCCCCAACCTGGCGACACTATTCGTCCCGCCCCCAGTAGACCCTAACTACCGTAGTCAAGGAGGATACGAAACTCGAGGGTGGGGATCGATAAGGCACGCCCCGCAAGAACAGCCAGCCCCCGTCAGACCCCACATTGCATTGCAATCCCAAACCCCACAGCCTTCACGAAACTATTCCTCTTATCCCTTCCACGCTTTTCCAAATGGATTGCTTAGACAATAGCCCATGGTTTTACAACCAATCTTTCCAGGACGAGCTCGAGCGTACGTTCCTTCGGCCCGAGACCCCGCAGCCTGAGGATCCATTTATTGGTGTAACTGAGGTATATCAGAGTCCCCCCTACGAGCCGGTAGAAATGGAGAACGAGTTCTGCTACTCCGACGGCTTCCTGCCGGTCAACCCTTTCGATGAGCTGCTCAATGAAGAGGATATGAGCTACGGCAATTTCATCGACGTCGAGTCCAGCCCTTCACCACCTTCGCTCCAGAATTACGACCAGTTTGAGGAGAAGCCTATCATCTCCCGGATACCGATGATGCCATCGAGGGTGGAGAACATGGAGGACATCAAGCCCACCATCGCCCACCGACCTGCTCCAAGTCGTCGGGGCCGCCCACAGAAGGACAAGCCCCGCTCATTGAAAGCCCAGGTATCCAAGCACTGGCGCGAAAAGAAGAAGGTCCAAGACAAAGCTATTCAGGATAAGGTCATGCAACTCGAGTGTGAAAACACTCAGCTGGCCAGGAAGAACAACAAGCTGCAGACGGAGATCCAACAACTCCGCCAACTTGTCGCCAGACTTCAAAAAGCCTAATAGTTTTTAGGGCCTTCCTAACCTATCATTATTGTTGATCTCATTTGTTATTATAGTCGTCTCCTGTATATTCACCCCAACCCCCGCGTCTCCTTTTTGTCTTCTAAGCGCTTGTCATGGACCCGGCTTTTCGGGCCAACCAATACCGGTTTTTGGGTTTTTCTCCTTCTTATTCTTACTATGTGTTCTTGCAAGCTGGGCCTATTTGGAGATCCGTTGCAAGCGCACCTTTTAGTTATGGGCCATTCTATATTTCGTAGCCCACGGCAGCACGGCAATGTACGGTCCTCTGACCAAAAGGTATGTTTTTTATCGAATCACGACTTTTCTAAGGGTTCCCTGGTTTCGAAACCCGTTACGAAATTAATTTCGGAATTCCGAAATTCCGAAGATACCACATACGAATTTTTAATTGGTATTTTCGAAAGAGCCAGGGTTTCGAAACTGGTTTTCGGAATTCCGAAATTCCGAAAGTACCACTTTCGTATCTCGAAAATAGACTCGAAAATCAATTTCGAATTTAACTAAATCCTTAATTAACCCGTTCTTTTCAGGCGTTAACGCTGGGCACATAACTCACTCACTACAACAAACCACCACTGAAAAACGATCCCCTGATACAACATCATCGAGATCACCGCGACCACTTCCCAAGGTATGTTACTTTACATTTTGCGCACATAAGCGGCAGGTAACGGTTCATTCATTTCTCTGCTTTCCAAACTGATGGCAATTTTCTGGTATTTTCAGAGTCCAGAAGCGATTGGCGGCCCACAAACTGGACCCTCCCACTTGTGGTTTGCGGTGTAACAAGCGAAAAAAATAATTAAAACTAAAACTAGATGAAAACAACCCCAGTCACCATCCCCACCCGATGGCGATTGTTTCGAAAAATCCTTATAGACCAAATTTATCATTTATTTTAGTTCCAACTACCATGGATGTGCTACGCCCCCAGAAGTGCCCAGCCTCGCCGCCGTGCAGCCAGCAAAAAAAAAGATAGAAAAGAGCTCCAGAACGGCCCACCTTGTAATAAAGATTTATATGTAAGCTAGCGGTCCTGATTTTTTTATGACCCTACGGTCTTTCAACCGTCCTTATCTGTGGAATTTTTAATATTACTTTCAGCTTACGAACTTTGGAACCGGAATTCATTTGCCAATTTGCAGAAAGCCTTCCCTTCTTTGCCTTCACGCCTTCAGGATGACCTGGACACATGAATGCATGGTTGGTCTCTAAATAATCGGAGAATTTCGAAATCGAAAAAATATATTTCTGGTACCAAACAAAGCATAAAACCCATTTATACATACTGCTCAATCCAAGGCGGTTTAGCCGACGGCTCAATGTGGGCTCGCCGACTGACTGTCCGTCACGGTGACCAAAGCTACATCGCGGTATCGCGGGATCCCCGAGAGAGATCGGCTATGATAGAGAAGAGACACAGAGAAAGAGAACGCAAAGTTTTGGTGTCAGTCCGGTCGGTTCAATGGCAACGCCTAAAAATAAGGCAAAGAAAAAGATGCTAATGAACCGCCGGAGACATCAAAGCTCCCCTACCCAAGATATGCGAGAATTTCAGATATCCGTGCGACTATGGGATCTCTTTGTTCTAAAAGAACTCTCGGTTTAAAGTCTAAAAACCGTGATAATTCAAGCAAAACATAGCGCTATTTTTAGTTCCTAAAAACAGGAAAAATTCTTTCGCTTAACCCAGAGAGATCCCATAAATACCTCCACTTCACCAAACTAGGCCCTTATTTCAGTCATCACAACCCTCAACCTCATCTGACAGCGAATCTGATCGCTCGGTCACCCCCACCGACTCTTCAACAACCGCGCAACCCGCCGCTAGTGTTGCGCGCTCAGAGGCAGCGCGACAACGCGCCCTTGTCGCCATTCGCAGGCGACAACACGCTCAGCGTTTAGCCGGTTAGTCTAAGAACATTAGTGTTATTCAAAAGTTAGGGAAAGCGTAATTTGACGGGGAAACTAAGTAAAGAAAAAAATAACTGATTTCGACGAACTTGAAACCCCACTTGATTTCGTCCTTCTAACCGTCCCTCTTTCAGCCCGACGCATCTCGCAAGCCCGTGCCGTGATGAGAGCCCGCTTCCTGCTTGGCGAGGACATGTCGTATGCTAAACTGGTCGTCCAGGAGAACAGCGAACTGCAAGAGACGCATCGGATGCTCACCAACAAGGTGCTAATTCTCGTTCGATCTGCCGGGGGGGAAAGCTGTGGCGCTAGATGATCGTTGAGCCAATTGGTGGCCTGGAAAAGATGTAAAATTGGGATGAAATATGGAGGAAATCGAGGAAAAAAGAGGTGGTCTCGGCCTGTGGTGCTACGAAATTGCCAAGATAGATGTTGAAGCGGAAAAGCGGAAAACAATGATATGAAGTATTAAACTTATCCATAACTTTAAACTCGAACTGTTTTGCTATACTTTTTCGCAAATTTCTTGCGGCCGGCCGTAAAGGCCAACGCAACATTCCACGGCTCGCTCAAATAATGTGCATTCACGACATTTAGTACGAAACTTTACTATATCGATGTGAAAATTACGCTTAAACCTCATAAAAATAAATAAAAACTTGTAAAAAACCCTCGGTTAATCCTACCCTTTCAAGGTACGCGAAATGGAGGCCGGCATCGCCGCGATGCGAGCTTTTCTAGAACGTCGCGCTGCCACCAAGCAATGAAACCACTCGAGTCCCCATCTTCCCCTCCCAATCAATCACACTGTGGCGGCCGTTTTGTGGTCAATCTTGAAACTTTGTATTTAGCAACCGGCAAATATTGATTCGAAAACTGTCACTTTTGTACATAGCCACAAAACGGCTGTCGCAGCCGCACCAAAATGTGGGTAATCTACGGTAAGTCGGGTGCTTTACAGCCTTGCGGGTGTATACACCATTTATTCTTTTGCGCCTTTCGCCCCCATCTATTCTTCACACCTCTGGTCATTCTATCGGCAGTTGGTGCCTTTTTGGACTTTCTTTCGTGCTGCGCTTCGCTCTGCTTTAACCCAGTTCCCCAATGGGAACCCAATTTTGAGGTGAAAAGACAGTCTCCGTCCAAAATGCACCCTAAAATCAGTACGGTCTCTTTTGGAAATCTCAATTTGTTCGTAAAAACGTTGAATTACTTCGAGATTTCGAGAGAACCGTACCCCTTTCCACCTAAAACCTGCCATCCGAACATGGTGATTCTCTATCTGCCTTGAAAAATCCCCCAACCATTTATTGTCTCTGTAAATATTCCGCCTTTTGCCCCACGGGCATCTCGAAATTGAGAAATTGAAACGGCCATGCCCGTCGAAACGGGTACCACCGTCCTGCAGAATGGAAAACAAGAGAAAAGTTAAAATCAAAAACCAAGAAGCGCCCGTTTCCCCTCAAAGTTGATTGCTGAGCCGTTTTCCCTGTGTATGCTAAAGTCTTGCAATCGATTTTGTTGTTTTGGAGCTGAGGAGGTGTCGAGAGAAAAAAAAAGTGAATAAATTTTTTGGAGACATTTATTTGCAAAGCACAATACATGGGATTGATATGTTGGGGGGAGTGGGGGATGAAAATTTGAAAAATAGTAGATACATAAAGTACCACACACAAGAGGGAGGAGCGAAAGAACGAGAAAAACAGAAACGCCAACAGCGCCAACGTGGCCTCATAGAGGCATACGGTAATGGGGGTCGGGATTTAGTTCCCACAATATCGTAGCTCGGTGCACACTTGGGTGGGGTTCATGCCCTTTTTGAGGTCTTGGTAGATCTGCAATGGTTTTTTTGTTGATTAGCCTTTTTCGGTTTATACCTGGTTGAAAAACACATCCACGATCGCCTTGCAAGGCGCGATGAAAAAGCCAACAAAAAGATCTTCACATTCTTTTTCGGCGTCCTAGAAAGTTTAAAATATTTGTTTTAAAGCATACCTTTTGTAGCTGAATGGCGTCTTCAGCTATTTTTGATTGAATAAACGTCACAATAGATTTACAGCAACCGCACAGAGTATCCTAAAAATAGGTATTTTCATACATTTTTGTAGGTTTTAAAAGGTGTAGGTAATTAAAAAACCGTACTCTTCGGCCCGGCCATTCCCAGCCCTCCTCCCAAAAATATTCAGAGCCGGAAGGGATGACCATCGAGAGAATACGGCTGGAGATTAACAGCAGAAGCATCAGTTCACGCATTTTCTAGAGGTTTTAAATTGTATAAATTTCCAATAAAAACTTACCGTATTTTTTATCAAAAAAAAATGACGCCACTCGGAAAGGTCGTTTACGGGAAAAACGGTGAAAATTGATGGGGTGATAGATGGCAAATTTCGGGAGACCGGACATTAAACAGGTGGGGGCCATTTTACGGCCGGGTGGCTCGGATAGATATGGAAGGGGCAAGGAGAAGAAGCCGAGATAACCCCACATTGACGAATGCGAAAAGTTCGCGCTGGGACCAGGAAGTAGGGCGTTACGGTAATACCGTGAATGGAGTGATCTTTGAAATGTATTTACAGGAAGAAACCTTGTTGACGGTACTGTACTGTTAGCGGGGGGGGCTTTAGGGGGACCTACCTGGCGTTTTACAGACTTTTCAGAGTTATTTTATGGCGTTTTTCGTATTGTTTGATCGCGAAAATGCCATAAAAACCAGTTTACAATTTTTAAACACGTTAAAAATTGAAAAAGCCATATTTTAGAAAATTTTTGAGCATTTTTATACATCTTTTACCATTAATCAAAAAATTTAGAACATTTTAGTAAGTTATTTTAGTTACAACATTACATTTAACATTTTAGTTATTTTTTGATTATTGGTCAAAGAATAAAAAAAATAAAAACGGCGTAAAATGCTAATTAAATGGTGGCGATTGATTATTGTGACTATACTTCGCCGCCCACCCGGGGTGGGCCCCCCCTGGGGGGGACGGAGGGGGGACCGAGGGGATCCCCAGGGGACCCCCAGGGTAGGCATCTATAAAGGCCCCCCTGAGACTTTTTTAACTCCAATTTTGTTCACCATTTTAAAACTAAATATTTGACAATGGTTCACGTGGAAAAACCATTAACAACTTTGAAATTTTTTTCACTGGATTTTCATCGAAAATCCAAGATTTTGAGCGATCCAATATATATTTTGGATTTTTCATAACGCGAAATTGCAATATTTATATTTATGAATTGACGAAAACAGATGAGAAACATTTAATCTACCTATAGAAAAATTAGACCCTTAGCAAAAAAGATTGTTTACAGTGGCCAGTGGGGGGGGGGGGGGGGGGGGGGGGGGGGGGGGGGGGGAAGAATCCCCTTGGGGGATCCCCCCTCTGTCCCCCCTCGCAGTCCCCCCTCCGTCCCCCCCAGGGGGGGCCCACCCCGGGTGGGCGGCGAAGTATAATTGTGACCATACCGGGCGATATGCCAAAAGTTAGTCGGCCCGTTAACAAACAAGTACTTTGAAGCTTTGAATGGGCCGATAGCTTGCCAAAATTTGCATAAATGACAGCGAGCCGAAAATACAGACAAGCTTTTTGTTCTTCTTCTGATAGATGTTCGCCTTCATACAGGTTTTTCGGGGTTTAACAAAAAGCTAACTAAATTAAGAAATGTCGACGGCCTCCGGAAACGAACCATGAAGTCATCATCGGCGCCCCCAGCAAGCAATCCGCCAACAACAAGCTCAACACCACCAAGTACAACGCGTTCGACTTTGTGCCCCGATTCTTGGTGGCCAAGTTCCTCGAGCCGACCAACGCCTTTTTCCTCGTGCTCACCCTTGTAAAGGTCTGAAATTTTCGGAAAAAAGGTGATAATTTTTTCGTGTTTTAGTTGCTGCCCGAGGTCTCGGCGGTCCCGTGGCATTCTTCCGGCGTCCCGTTGATCATCATCATCCTCGTCAACGCGTTCACTGAAATTTACGAGGATTTGGTGAGATTTGGGGTTGTGCAACTGCTCTCTTAGCGGGGGGGGGGGCTTAGCGAAATGTTTGATCGTTTTATCGTGTTTTTAGTGAAATTTGACGTAGAAGATCATAAAAATTAATAATTGGAAATTTATGTTGACAAAAAATACGTAAAAAAGGGCGTAGGCTACATACAAGATGTGTATTTCATTATTGAGACCCTATTGGATTGGCCAAGGACGCTCCATGGCTATACCGCCCCCCGCTAATAGTTCAGTACCGAAAACGTTTCAGATCCGTCGCTTTGCCGATACACGATTGAACAATACGGAGGTTGAAGTGTTTGATGGGGTCTCGGAGACCTGGATAAGGACACAATGGAAAATGGTATTTCTATATTTTTTACATTTCGTCTAATATCCTTTTTTTCAGCTCGAGGAAGGCCACATTGTGCGACTGACGAAAGGCGACATGGTGCCGGCCGATTTGCTGATTTTAAGGTATATTTTGGAGCTTGCGGCGAGTTAATTAAATACGTTAAAACTTCCGTGTTTCAGCTCTTCGGAACCGGGCGGAGATGTCTACATGGAAACGGCGAATCTCGACGGCGAGGCCAATCTGAAAGTTCGACAAGCGCCCGCCGAGACGATGGGTGTACATTCAGAAGAACGAGTTAAGGTAGAAGATTGTTTTGGGCTAAACTCCAGATAACCCCCACCCGACCCCCCCCTCCCCCTTCCTGTTCTCTGCCCTGTTCGTGTGGTAAAGTATACCAAAATACTGGCCAGGGCAAAACATTTTGGTTGGCCTAAACACCTGTAGATGGGTGCCGAAAACCAAAAGGTGTGGGCCGGGGGGGGGGTTATCTGGAGTCTTACCTTGTTTTGCTGTTTTGAAACGTTATTTTAGAAATTTTTCGAATCTGCCCCTATGGTTACGTGCGAACCGCCGTCGCGAGCCCTCGATCATTTCCAAGGAGTTTTGAAACTTTCGCCCCATCTCATCGCCGACTTGAAGTTTGTTTCGTTTCTTTACAGCCAAAATGTATTTCTAGAGAAGAACAATCTCAACCCCGATTCTCACAAACTGAACGTCAGGATGTGTCGATTAGTGGGGCTTCTACTTTAGAGCCAATCCCTTTTAGGTGGCGCAAATTTCGTGATCCGAGGCGCAACGCTGCGAAATACCGACTGGGTGCTCGGTGCCGTCATCTACGCCGGCAAAAATACAAAGATTGCCCAGAATTCGGTCAAAAAGAGCACAAAAATGTAAGCGCCACTTTTGTCTACTTATTCTATTTGAGGTCTCGCGTCCACCGGTTGACAAACTGGATGGTGTTGACACAAATCGGATGGCTTCTCCTGCTGGCGATGGGCTACGCGTGGGCCGGACAAATGCAAGCTCGTCCCGGTGCTCAACCGCATCCGCTTCGCAGTCCAGAAGCGCGGCTGCCACGCCTAGGCGATACGGGCGAGTGGATGTACACCTGGCTGGACAAGGGTAAGAGATTTTGAGACGAAAGGAAAAGCGGAAGACCCCAGAATCTGAAAAAAACTCCGTTTTCTAAAGCGCTGCTTCCAAAGGGATGATTTTCGGCGGAAACAAACTTGTATACCGTAGGATCGAAGCTTCTTATTATCTAAATCAAAGAGGTGTTTCTGGACTGTTTTTGCTATTTTTCTACGTAAAAGCGTTTTATGAAAAACTTCGAAAATTTGTTTTCTTCCGAACTACACATTTGAAGCAAGATTTCAAGTTTCAAGCGTTTTTGTGTTTTCTAAATTTTTTCACTTGAAATTTAGATGAGTTTCAATAAAAAGCTCTTTTTAGAAGATCGCTACATCCACCAGGGCCTTCTACGCGCCTTCCTCGGTCAACTGATCCTCTTCTCAAATCTGGTGCCCATCTCGTTGTGCGTGACGATCGAGGGATGTCTGATGTGGCAGGCGTATTTTATCAAGCAGGATATTGGCATCTACGACGAGGAACGCGACCAAAAATCGGAAGTTGGTTCTTTGTTTGAGGTGCTTACTTACTTACTTACTCTCAGGTCCGCTCATTCGCCATGATCCCGAACCTTGGATTGGTGAAGTACGTGATGTCGGACAAGACGGGCACGCTCACCACCAATCGGATGAACTTCAAGTTTTGCTCGATTGGAGGGTACGAAAAAAGAGTCATCGCCTTTTACAATCAATTTAGAAAAAGCTACGGCGTCGCGTCGGAATCACCGGAATTTGATGGGCGCAAAATGGTGCGCGAGCTGCGTACCAATAACAAGGTGGGCTTACGTTGATGGGTTTCCATTTTCTACTGTTTAGGGAAATGCGGAGGCGATCGACAATTTCCTGACGGCGTGCGCGGTCTGCCACACCGTCGTTGCCGAGAGGGACAGGCGGTTGGGCTAAATTTGGCAGGCAATTTCTTCTTGCTAAGGCCCTCAACTCCAAGACCGGGCGAAACGTCGATATCGGTGCGGTCAAGCCGTCGTTCAACCAAGGAGCCGCAGTGGCACGCCTGTTCTCCAGGTAAAAATAAAGGATGATTGTCAAATTTTTTTACTAGGGCTCCAGGATGGCCTACTGATTAAAAATTGCGTTTTATATGGATTTTAGCAAAATAGATTTGCATTTAAGGTAGAAACCCTTCTTCAAAATGTAGAAAAATTCTTGAAAACTCGTTAGTTTTACTAACTAAAACGTTTTTTTAATTTGTAAGGTTTTTGTCTAAACGTTAGTTGATATCACTATTTGGTTTAGATGAGGGATGCTTGGTCCGTTTCGCTCGTGACTGCCGCTATACCTTCAAAACTCGCACTCCCGACACGATCACCATTGATGCCGTGAGGAGTCTCAACTCGCAGATATGCTTCATTTATCATTACAGGATGGCGAGTCTCGCACCTACACCATCCTGGCCCTCATCGAGTTCACGTCAGCGCGGAAACGGATGGGCTGTTTGGTTCGGACGCCGCAGGGGCGCCTCAAGTTTTTCATCAAGGGCGCTGTAAGTCTTTTCTAGTTACTTGTTGTTTTTCGAATCCAATCGTCACATCATCGACAACGTATACCTTTTGCAGGACGCCAAAATCCTGCCCACGCTGAGTCGAGCCAGCGACCCGGAAATTGAGAAAATGACGAAGGAGCACCTCAAAATTTTGCCAACCTTGGTAAATCACCAACGATCTTGAAAACCTTTTTTAGGCTATCGCACCCTATGCTTTGGATATCGTGACGTCACCGAGGAGGAATATCTGTGGGAGAAATAGACGTACCGTGTACTGATTTGGCGTTAGGACCTGGGCCGACGAGTGGAACAAGGCCAACTGCGACCTGCAGAACCGCGAGAAGATGATCGAGGAGGTGGCGGCAAAAATGGAGCACGTCCGTCTTTTTATAAACGCTAGTACCCACCTTTTAGGAGATCCTTCTGCTTGGCGCCTCCGCCATTGAGGATAAGCTGCAGGACGTTAGGATGCAGTTTTTCATCAAATTCCGGGTTTAGCGAGTCCCCGAAACGATCGCCCGTATGCTGCAGGCCGAAATGAAGGTCTGGGTGCTGACTGGGGATAAACTCGAAACGGCCATCAATATCGGTACGGGAATGAGGATTTTACGAGGATTAACTTTAGGTCACTCTTGCTCCCTTCTCTCCCAGGATACCCCAAAAATCATCCTCGACCGAAACACGGAAGCGGAAACAGAGGCCCTCCTCGACAGGTTCATTTTGGGTTTCACAGAAAGAAAATCCCTATTTTCTAGCTATGTCGGGATGGTGGGCGAGCGGATGCTTGATGCGAAAAACGCGCAATTGGCGTTGATTGTTGATGCACAGGTAAGGAATTCAAGATGAAAAAACACGAAGCATTAAAAGGCCGTCCGCGACTCACCCGAACAGGCCCCCTTATGTCTTGGCACAGTTTTTTTCGACCCCGTTTTTTTGACGGCATAGGATAGAGCATGGTCAAATTAGTAGGGCTGCATAGTTTTGAAAGTTTCAAAAGTTTAATTTTGGGGTTTAAATGAACGTTAAAGTTGCCGACCTTAGAAAACTATCTCGAAAAATACCCAACAAAATTTGCTAAAAATTTGTGACAATACTAATTTTGGGGTGGGGATCATTTCTCTAATACATTGTGAATCATGAAAATGGCCGGAACGTAATTAAATCAGATACTAAAAACAGTTTTTCGACATTTTCGACATTTTAGAGAAACCGGCGCATATTGGCTATATCCTAGGCAGACGCACCTCACGTTTCTGCATCGAATGGTGTATCGCTTGATATGCGCCGGCTTCTCTAAAAATTAGTTTTATCCGCTTTTATATGTGAAAATGGGGGTAAAATTGACCCCGAAAAATGAAATTTTTTGCTTTCGAAAAATCTGAGATATAGAAATGCATCTAGAGACCGAGACGAATCGATTGCAAAAAAGAGCAAAAAGAAATTCGGCTTCTTTCGATGTCGCGGAATCGAACCCGGACCCTCCGCCTGGGAGCCCCGTGGCGCAATGAGTAGAGCGTCGGCGTGCCAATCCCGAGGTGGCGCCAGTTCAATCCCAGCCCCCTCTCAGAAGCCGAATTTCTTTTTGCTCTTTTTTGCAATCGATTCGTCTCGGTCTCTAGATGCATTTCTATATCTCAGATTTTTCGAAAGCAAAAAAATTTCATTTTTCGGGGTCAATTTTACCCCCATTTTCACACATAAAAGCGGATAAAACTAATTTTTAGAGAAGCCGGCGCATATCAAGCGATACACCATTCTATGCAGAAACGTGAGGTGCGTCTGCCTATGATATAGCCAATATGCGCCGGTTTCTCTAAAATGTCGAAAATGTCGAAAAACTGTTTTTAGTATCTGATTTAATTACGTTCCGGCCATTTTCATGATTCACAATGTATTAGAGAAATGATCCCCACCCCAAAATTAGTATTGTCACAAATTTTTAGCAAATTTTGTTGGGTATTTTTCGAGATAGTTTTCTAAGGTCGGCAACTTTAACGTTCATTTAAACCCCAAAATTAAACTTTTGAAACTTTCAAAACTATGCAGCCCTACTAATTTGACCATGCTCTATCCTATGCCGTCAAAAAAACGGGGTCGAAAAAAACTGTGCCAAGCCTTGTTCGGGTGGCTCGCAAACGGTCTTTTAAACAAATTGAAAGAAGTTACTTGCCGAATATGTTGTTCAGTGCTTGGACTGGGTTATGGGGTCGTCGACGATGCGCATGGACTTTTTGCGGATTGCCCTCTGCTGCTCGGCCGTCATTTGCTGTCGGTGTACACCATTTCAAAAAGTTGTGTTTTTGGTTTGATTTTCGTACGGCGAGATTCTAGGCCGCGGTGACGCGCCTCGTCCGCAACAACGTAGATGGTCTCGTGCTGTCGGTAGGCGATGGGGCTAATGATGTGGCTATGATTCAGGTAAATTAAATGGTTTTTTTTTAATATTGTTTATCAATTTTAGGAAGCCGATATTGGTGTGGGGATCACGGGCGTTGAGGGCAGCCAAGCTGCCAATGCCTCCGATTTTGCTATCTCACAGGTAAGGGATTTGCACTGTTTATATCTATTAATGCCCTATCTAGTTCCACCACCTGGATCGACTGCTGTTTGTACACGGAACAACGTGCTTTCACCGGATCTCGACCGTCGTGCTCTTCTCGCTCTATAAGAATCTCATCGAGGTTTCACTGAATGTAGGTTGTTTGAAAATCTCTCTCTCTCTCTCTCTCTCTCTCTCTCTCTCTCTCTCTCTCTCTCTCTTTTGCTATGTATTTTTTATATCTTTCAGATGTTCTACGGCTTCGACAATGGCAATTCGGACAACCCGGTGGCCGACGAGTCGACGATGGTCCGCTACAACCTCATCTACACCTGGTCCGTCCTGTCACCACCTTGAATTACCGTACTCCTTTTCAGTTGGATTGTCGGCATTCTGGGCATCTTTGACAACCCGGTCCCGTTGGATGTGTTGGGAAAGTACCCGCTCCTCTACACGCATTTCCAGGACAACCTCACCAACTTGGTGGGCCTCTTCCTCCCGGAGGTGTCACCATCCCTTTAGAGCCACATGATCTGGTCGGCGAACGCGATGCTCCACGGTGCCATGCTGTACTATGCGTATCGGATCTGGTGGCGCGATGGGGGAGGTGGGGGTTTTTTAGCTCGGTTTTATCGAGGCTTGGAATTTAGTGATGTTCCCGAGTGGCCGTGACGGTTGGGGCCAGATGGGTGGCTCGTGGCTGTATTCGGTTAGTTTTGACAATTTCGGATGGTTTAAAGGGATCTGCAAGACTGGATGGTCGATTGATTTTTGGGAATTTTGGCGTTCGAAAATTTTTGAAATTTTTATGGAATTACATCCAGATACCCTGCCTGATTTGGCCCGTTAACACCCCCCTTCCTTTAGTGTATGGTTTTCGTGGTGAGCCTGAAGTCGGTCCTCGAGAGCCTCTCTATCACTGTGGTAACGAGTTGTCCGTCTCCCTTTAAAACGACGCGACACTCCAGCTAACGGCCCTCGGCTGCTTGAGCTCGATTATTGGCGTGGCGGCGATGATGGTCGTCGACTCGTACCTGTTCCCCTACTTTATCGCGCCCATCATTGGCCCCAATCGGGCCCATTACTTGGGCCTCATCTACACCCTGCCGTCCCCCCAAACGGGCCTCTTCCTGCTGTTCATCTGCGTCGCGTGCCTGCTGCCCGACTTGGCCGTCAAAGCGTACGCTACGCGCCAATTAACAAATACCTATTTTAGCCTCTACCGTACCCTCTACCCCTCCATCCTCCACCGTGTCATCCAGTCATTAGCAAAGAAAGTGGGCGGTTTTTCTCACTTCCTGTATTTCGTTTCTAGGATACCGTACTCGACACGTTCCGCCAGCCGATGATCCTCCTTGCCGACGTCGTCGGGCTGAAGCAGGAGCTGGAGAGTGGAAAGTGTAGGTTTTTGAAGCGTCGCATCCACCAGACACCTTTAGACGGCTTCATGTTCGCCCAGGATGACGGGAGAGTGATCTCGCAGGGAGATCTTCTGAAAATGTATGGCGCCCCGGACTGTCGCTCGTCCAGAAGACAGGTAGGCAAAAGTATCCCTACCCCGAAATTTCCAGAACCAAAATAAACCCGCCGCCGAGCACCATCTGGTCGAGCAGAGCCCCGTCTCGTCCACGAAATCCCTCAACTCGCGCAACCCCCGGCATGTCAAATGGGTACGGTAGCCCCGGCTTTGGGTCATCTTTTACCAGGCATCACACCCCACCGCCGAGCCGATCATCACTGAAGAGCCGGTCGTTGCCAAGCCGAATGATGAACACAAATCAAGCCCTAGCTGTGAGGACACCCAGGTACCGTATTCAATTCAAGGCTTTACAAATTTTTATAAATAAATCGAAAAAGAAGATGTTCGACCAGAATTTCGACTAAAAATTTTTCTACTTTTTTATTGTTTCCACTTGAAACAGTAAAATATACTTGAAACATAATTTTTACACTTATAGGAAAAAAGTAGCACGCCCCGATATTGAAGAAGAACCTTGAATAAAATTAATCTGGACGGTTTAGGTGGCCACTATGGAATTGCCGCCCGGCGTCGACGGCCCCTGATCGCCCACAAACCTATCTTAAATCGAATCGTGTTTGTTTGTGTGCTTGAAATAGCCGTATTTCTCTCTGTCTGTCTCTGTGACATTCGATCAAACTGCATCCGCGGAATAAACGGCTCATCTCGTACAGTAGACCCAAGATTTTATGGTTTATACAGCCTGGTGAGAGCATCTAGCAGAAATCGATGGATTGACAGACGCCCTGCGCATTCGTGCCGTTCTTCAACATGTCGATCACCTGAAATCAGCCGGGCTGATAGCGAAAATGAAGCTTTAGCAGAAGCTTAAAATGCTTCCAAAAACTTTAGACTCACATCCTTGACGTAGTAATCGACGATTTGCTTGCACGACGTGTCGATGATGCCCTGCTTGAAGAGCTTGTCGCACTCGTCGTCGAGCTTCTAAAAACCGACGTTTCAGATGTTTTTATATGCTTATCGCGGGTTATTAGGGGGTTTTTCTTGCTTAGGATTTAGAACCTTGTACACTGGCTCCTTGATAAATAGATCCAAAGTATTTAATAACGGTGCTTTTAGTTAGATTTATAATTTTTATGCTTGAAAATCTGAATTTATAGCTTATCACACGTTGTTTGTGTTTTATTATTTACGGTTTAGTCGGATTCTCTGTTAAAAGCTCCTAACAACTGACCTTCTGGATGACGGCCTCGTCATCGGTCACGTCCTGCTCGACAACCTTCACCAATTGGATGCACACGTCGCAGAAAATACCCTAAAAAATGTGAATTTATAGAAGTTAACTTATAGTAAACTTATAGAAATGTAATTTACAGAAATAAAACCGTAAAAAAAAAACTCACGAAAACGTTCGGCTTGGCCTTCTGCACCTTGGGGACGAGGGCGATGGCGGCGACGGCCGAGACGAGGCACAACAGCACAACGGTACGCATATTTTATCCCTAATTTCAAGAAGTAATAATTTATTATATAGCGTATTACATTAGGTAAGAAAACATGAAAAATCCATGAAACATACCGTTGTTTTCGAGCTAAAACTGGAGGATAAGTTTGCAAAAGGGGTGGGGTTTTTGTCAGGATTTGAAGCTGCTCAGGCAAAAACATGAAAAATCCCCCCAAAAAACGTCATTTTTCGAGCTAAAGCTTGAATATGAGCACAGGAAAAAGTGTATTTAGTGAAAACGAAAAAGGAGAACCATCTTCTGGAGCCGAAAAGTGCCGAAAACGCAACCCAAAGCCCCGTGATATGAGCCCCTAAATACCAGAGCGATTGGGGCGGATTAGCCCTTCTTCCCTGCCCAATCCTAAAGCATAGATAAGCCCGGTCACGGCTTCAGATCTCCCATTCAGCGGCTTCGAGCAACCCCCACAGCCTGTTGATCAAAGAATGTTCCGCGTTGATACGGGCGGACGCCACGGAAACGTTGTGAGGATTGGTCCGGAAATGGCGCCGTGGTATTGGTGTGTTAGCGGGGGGGGGGCTATCTAGAAGCCAATAACTATCTAGTAAAATTTGTTATTTTTTATAGCGTATTTTATGGTGTTTTTCTTGTAGTTTTTGATTATGCGGAAGTCATAAAAGTTTAAAAATTTGGAATTTTTGAGCAGGTACTTTTAAGTAAAAATCAAAAAAATTCCACGATTTTGATAAGCTTTTTAATTTGCGCCTTATATAGATAAAAAATGGCGTAGAAAACTACAAAAATCCAAAAAAAATATAGGCGCCAGTTCTCCTAATTTTTGTCGCTTTCAGAGTCCCCATTTTCCTTATAAACGGAAGCCAGGCAGTACAAACCATAATTCTTCCATGATAAAACACACCCCCGAATGTCATTTTGTATGCTCTTGTAGTTGGAACTAAAATCCGGTGGATTGCGTGCATCGCTGAAGCCGTTCCCTAAGGATTAGCTGCACTCGCCCCCCCTTCCGCTTATCACAAGCCGCCATGTGGCGGCCCTCAAAAAAATGGCCACCCGCTTCCCTTGGTCTGGAACTTTGGCAACGACAACCAAATAGGCACAAAAATCATGAAAACATGGTAAATTTAATAAGAAAAAGCTTTATCAAGGTTTTCAGGCCTCTGTGATGGGCGCAACGGCTCTTTTCGGGATCCGTTTCACCGACTTTTTCTTCTTTTTCGGCTTGGCTTCGGCGGCCGGCGGTGGCGGGGCGTCCAGACTCGCCAGATCGTTGCTGCTCGAGCCGTTTTGGGCTCGTTGCTTCAGCTTCTCCTAATTTACTGTTCTTAGGTGGAAAAACTTAGAATTCGATTTTTCGAAGAAAATTTCTGTCTTTTCTTTAAGTTCGTACGGCATTTCCGAAATAGTTTTTCCATTGAAATAACCAAGTTGCTAAAAAAAAACAATTAAAATCCTGGTTATGACGCTACAATATATATCTCGGCTTAATAGAAAAAATTCGGATCGCCAGGAAATACTCCGCAAACATTTTTTCACAAACCTGCAAAGCAAGCTTTTGCCGCTCCCTGGCTTCTTGATTGCGCTTTTCGAATGCCTTCCGCGTCGTCCCATACTCGTCTAGTTTTTGCTTGACGTCGCCTGGAATATCCTACTATATATAAAAAATAGTTCCTGTGTGTGTGTGTGTGCATTTGAATGCAACTTCCGTCACCGTGTCCGGAGGATATCTCAAGAGGGGAAGGGCGTTACGCTACGTATGATACGGGATTAGGTGCGTAACGTCCCCGAGATGACTGCACGCATATCAGATTTTGCAAATTATGCTATTTTCGACATTAAAATTGTGTTTTTGTTGAAAAATCCGGCAGCCTTCTTTGTTAGGAAATAATTAGCATACGCCGGAAGTCGCCGCAGCCTATATATATAACGTGAGAGACTGGAATTCCTCATTTTTCCCCCATAGGAATTCGAGAGACGTATTCATGAAGAATTTCATCAATTTAGACGGGGCCAGGGTTGAAAAGTCGCGAAGCGGCTTTTCAACCCTGCTTATTTCTATTTTTCCAACCCCCATGACCCACCAAACAACGCGTCCTTGGTAGGGATTGGAGCCAATTTGCTGAGCGGAAGCCCACCCGGCCCGTCCGGTTGTGACAGATTCAGCAGTTCCTGCTTCTAACTTTCTAAAATTCTCGAAAAGGCTTACGCTTAGACTGTCGGTACGGCCGAATTGTTCGTCTCGCAGCGCTTCTTCTTCGAGTGCCAGCAGCTCCTGGGTGGGTTACGGTAATCCGGGGCACTGAATATCGCTCACCTTCTCCAATTCGTTGTCCGCCACATGGTCATATTCGAAGCTCATATCGTGGCCCAGCTCTTCTTTGCACTAATTTATCGTTTTATAGGTTCTGGACTGTTAACGGGGGAAACTAGCTTGCGTTTTTAGGTATAGAAAATTTATAAAAAGTTGTTAAAAGTTTCGAAAAAGATGATTTTTTTAGCAAAAATCTCACTTTCTAAGAATTATACCTTTTTACGGCTATTAAGTCATGAAAACCTACCAAAACACCTAAAAATTCACTAAAACGCTAACTATTATGCTACCTTTTTTTTCATAATCGCCAACCGTTCTTCACGAAGTTGACGTTGTTTGCGGATGACCTTGGAGCAACATATAGAAAACTACAACGTCGAAAAACCCACCTCATCATTTGCCTTATCCAAATCCTTACAAATCGTGTCGTGAATGACCTTGTCGAACCATTGGATAAGTGACGTGATTTTGACATGTGTTTCTTGGAAAACACGACCGGCCTATCAATTAACTGCATTTTTGAAAACCTGAAAATTCAACCTTATCAATAGTGCCATCATTTTGTACGTCCTTGAAGGCGGCGTTGACCGTATTTTCCATCTCGGTCATCTCATCCTCCGTCGCGTACGGGAATTGCACCTGGAATTCAAGATGTTTTTTAAAAGGCTAATTAAAAATTAAACTAGTTTTTGACCTTTCCCAAGTACACACGACAACTCTGCACGTTCTGGCCGGCCGCAATAAAGTTGTTGCGGGCCTCGGCGGCCGCGAAATAGCGCATCCGGCCGTTACTGGAAGACAAATTGTATTTTTAAAGGCATAAACAATTATTGAAAAGAACTAAACTCACGCCGACTCGATTTTCTTCAATTCAGACCATCGAGAAATGCCGAACGCCATCTGGGTATTTGCGTGCACGAGAAGAACCCTAGATTGCAGAAGCTTACGCATTATGATATCAGATTTTTTTAAATATAATTAATCTTTCTTCATTTTCCTTTACTTACCTTCCGTTTGTCCATTTAAACATGGCCAAACTCACTCTCTGCTGCCATTCCACCAAATCTTCAAGCTAGAAATGGTGTTTCTATTTGATTATAAACCTTTCAACAAGCCTCTCCCTCCAGCTGATTCTCCTTTTCCGTCGTATATTCCGATCCAAATATTTCCGCTTAACAAATTTTTCTATTTTATCCTTTTAAACTTACTCAACATTTGATCCTGCTTCTCATACATATTCTGCAAATCATCCGTTTGCTGCTTGTAAAGTTCCGCAATCTTTGCCGCCCGAGAATATTTCATTTTCGCGTCCGAAAGCGCCTAAAACATCTTGATTTACGCTGGCGATCCCATCAGAATGCAAAACCTCAAAAAGCAAAAAGTTTCTCCCCGGCCGGGAATTGAACCCGGGTCTCGCATGTGACAGACGCGGATACTCACCACTATACTACCGAGGACACGAGAGAGGGGTCACCTTTTCAGCGTTATCTTGCTTTCTCGTCGCCTCCACGTATTCCTCCTTCTCTTTGCCCAGTCGCTGCTCCCAAGTGCCCTGCAAAGAGTGGGGGGCTGCCCGTTTCTGCCCGATTTTCGGGGAATATGGCACGCAAAAATAGGATATAACCTGAAATTATATCTTATTAATAAAATTAAGGAATTATTGTTCCATTTTAAATGTTTTTCTATATTTTTATAATGTCTAAATTGATGGTTAATACGAACAGACCACTGAAAATTCGCGTAATTTTCAAAGTTACCTCCAAAATCTTTCAGTCCAAAAGAACATCGTTTTCCATTACAAAATTAAACATATTTTTTACTGTGTAATTAAATAGGTATATACTAAATATATAGTAAATCATCAATCGTTTAAATGACAAAAGCTGAAAAATTTGGCTTCATATATATCCTCATCTTTAACTTTTGGAGTACTTTCCTACATTGGAAAATGTTTAAAAAGTGTTTCTCAGACCATATTTAATTCCTTAAATTTAGGAAAGCCTTTCTACTACCAAACCTGCGATTTCAAGAAGGTCTTCACCGACGGCTGCTCGATATTTTCCATATCTGCCCGTTCTTTTTCCCTAAATTTACCCCATTTCAAGTTGACTCCGGCTTCAAACTGACGTCTGCTTCTTCAATTCCTTATAAGTAGCTTCCAATTGATCGACCGTCTTCTTCAGCTCATCGGCGGCGATCATCTTCTGCTCGTACTTCTTGATGACGTTCTTGCGCTCCAGTCGAAATACCGCTTTCTCCAGGGTGATGTATTCCTATGGTAATACGGATTGCCGAAGAGATTACCGTTTTTACCTGAAGCATTTTCTCGTTCAGCTTGACCTTCTTGACCTTCTTGGCCTTTTTCTCCTTGGCTCGATCTTCGAGCTCTTTCTCGGTCATACCATCTGGGCGTGGGATGTCACCGGTGGGGGGAGGTCGATCGAATTATCTCATCTTCTAATGACTAAAAAAGTTGAAGAAGGTTTTCAAAAGTGTTTTCTCATTATAGGGGGACCACTAATCTTGAGAAATCTTCAGAAAGTCCAGAAATGTCTAGTACTGTAATATATTTCCTTTATTTTCCGAATTTTTTGAGTTGGAAAGTATCCAAAAAAACTTTATAAAAGTAGAGAAATGTAAATGTAGATAGAAAATCAACAATTTTGATCGGAGTGTAACAACTTTTTACCCCCTCGATAATGTACAAGCACCCGTTCTAATTGTAAGTAGTACCTCATGGGTTTGTTGAACGGCAGCCTCGGCTTCTTTTGCAGCCTTTTTCTTTGACGGTGACGAGCCCATTTTGTTTACCTAATGATCCGTTACAAACAAAAGTCAAACTTTATTAAAGACAGCGCGTTATAAAACACTTAATGGCTCCTTATAAACGTTTAGAAAACAAAGAAAACCAGAAAACGTAGCTTTGCAGTGATGGCATTCATATTGTGTGTTGGGCCAACCGAGGGACGGTCGCCGAGAAACGGCTTGACGACCGCTACCGCCAACACCGCATCGCTAATGCCGTAAAAATATAGATGAGGAAAGAAGGGTTTGCTAAACGTCAGCGGAAAAACCATCATGCGTAACTACCCAAAAAGTCTAGTAAAAATAGTTTGTTTTATAACGGTTGATGTTAGCTGGAACAAATGCAGTTCGCCCCCCCCGCTAACGAAGCAGAACCGTAAAAATGAAACTACAATAACAAAACAATTCTAAATGTTTAATTAGCATATCTAGAAAGTATGGATGGTAATGGAATGGCGCGAAATTCGGCAGTCGAACGCCATAGCTCCCAAAAATGGCCAACAAGCAGCAGAAGAAGAAAGGTAAAAGTTTAGACGTGCCCCTCAAAATGGATATTTTAATGACTAGCGTCGAAAATATAAATATCATAGATAACAAAAAGGTAAGAGTTTACTTTACCCCCCCCACAGCCGAAGGGTCTCAAAGTTGTCGGTATTTTCGCTTATTTTGTCGGGATTTTCGCAACGCCATTCGATAGAGCGTCGAAAAATATACTAAGAGTTTTAATTTGAGCCTACATTAATGTAAAATAAAAAAGTTATAGCCAAAAACTTCCGGCTGGGGGGTAAAGTAAACCGTAGCCAACAAAAATATTCTAATTCTAAGGTGCGGCTCCGGAGGAAGTGGCAACCTCCCTCTCTGCCTACACAATCATCAAGCGATCCCTCTACGGCGTCGTGCTGGCCATCTTCTTTGCCAACTGCATCGTCAGTCCGCCTTCGGAAACCCTGAAAATACCTGTCATTTTCAGAAATACATCTATGATCAGGAGATCTTCTTTGAGGTTGGTCTAAAACTCTAGCTATGCGTAATAACGCACTCGCATTTATTTTACTGGTGTTTTGCCAAAAGTTAGCTATGTAAAAACGGGTAAACTAATTTGAAAACTAGCTAAATCTGAATTTCCGAAAAAGCCATGTTCTTATAGATTTTAATTCAACATTGTAAACTTTTTGCTTTGTTTCCACCCAATAATTTTTAGAAAATCGTGCCCGATTTTGAGCAACAGATGATCAACAAGTATCGCCGGGGGAGTGGTAGGGTTTCTGGTATTCGACTGTTAGCAGGGGGGTTTAGCAGCGGGAAGCTAGTTTTCCCCAGTATCCTTTACAGTCCGATAACTACAAATCATTTTTAGAGCATTTTACATGGTTTTTACCTAAAAAAACGCAAAAAAACCTTCTAAAATTTTTAGACTTTTTGACCTAACAGTTCACATATTTCGAATTTTGAAAAATGATTAAAATATTTTGCAATTTCTAGAAATCAAAAACGACTAAAAAACATTATAAAACAGGCAGGCATAGCCGGGGAAAAAAATTTGGTTCCCCCTGCTAACAGTACAATACCGGGTTTCTCTGGGCGATGTTGATGCAGCTTTCCACTAGGTTCGCTGGTCTGAAGGCACCGAAAGGATCGTGGACATCTACAGTCCAAGCAGCGGGTTCAGTCGTCAGATGCGCATCAACGAAAACCCGTTGACGTTGATGGGCCAAAAGTGGTTGTCGTTGCCGCCGGGTAGGCGAATTTATCTATATTCTAAAATAGTGGACTTTTAGACAGCGAGCGCGTCGGTTCCCGAATGGACGCAGCTACGTGGAAGATTGATCATCTCCATTTCGACCCCTACAGGTATAGCTTCCATGTAAAAAAATAAAACATCTAAAACCCGGCCATTTCCAGCTACGAATTGGAACATTATGAGACGATGCTTCGCACCGGCGTCCTCGAACGCGATGGCACAAATGCTAATAGGCGTCTCCTGCTGTTGGGCCATGGTGTCGGCGTGTTCCCACCATTCTTCTACCAGAAATACCCAAAAGTACTCTAAACACCCGGTTGGATCATTTTATTCACCAGATGAACACGACGACGGTCGAGATCAGCGCGAGCATGTTATGGAAGGCTTTCCGCCATTTCCAGACGCCCAAAGACGTCGAATATCGCAAACGCATCCGGCTTGAAGATGCCGTGGACCTGATCAGAAGGGCCGCAGAGAATGGTAGCGCCTACCGGAAATCCTAATTGGGGCATTTAAAACCTGAAAAACGGCTTAAAAACTGGGATTTGGTCGAAAAATCCATTTTTGTAGCTTTTAATAGAGCTTTTGTAAAATTTTTTACGTTTAGTGAATAGTAAAAAAACATTGAGAAACCCTTCTTCTATTTATATTGGCAAAACTGGATGCTATGAAAAATTGCCGCTTCCTGGAACTACTAAAGAAGCCACAAACGTCTCTCAAAATTTCTTCCCCACTACTACCCCTTCTCCAGGTGAAACCTTCGATGCCATCTTCAACGATGCCTGCCGAACTGAGGTAATGGTGAAAACAATTTTTTCACCTAATTTTTAGGACTCAACCGGCGCCAATCGGCCAGATGTAGGAAGCGCGTTTCCCGGTCAACCGCTCCGTTTTAGCTGTACAAATGCCCCATTGATGAGCTGGAGACCGACGAGTTGCTGTCGAAAATGGCTGGCTTGCTCGGGAAAAGAGGAGTCCTCTTCGTGAATTTTGTCACCGCTGAACCGCCGCCGTATCAGCGCCGCCATCAGGTAGAGCTTTCATGACCTCAACCCCAGTCCCTGTAGTTGATCAAGCACAACTACAAGAAGCACTTCAAATTCTGCATCTGGAAGCAGCTGCCCCTTCTGTCGAACTGGGTAACTAGGGCTCGCTATCAGCTGAAAGACTAGTTAATTGCAGTTGCTCACATGTGCACAGCGCGAGTTCGACGACAAAGCCCTTGACAGCAACGAGTCGGACACCCCGCCCCCGTCCAACTGACGCCATCTGCTCTTATGATTGTTTGGATTGTTGCCGAGGATAGATAAACTTTATACCTCTTCGCACTAAATCTAATGGCACAGTCTAGCGGAAAGAGATTAAACAATGGGGACCGTGTAGGCTCAGATACGTCTAGAGTGAGGGTGTTTATAAGAGGATAATAGGGTACCAGTCACAGAATGTACATTGGAAAAGCGCCTACGAAAACCAATGATGGCATGGAGCAACGGGGGGACTCGTATAAAAATAATTGGCGTACAAAAAGGGGGTTCAATCGATTCAGTAGAACTTCTTGCCAGACTTCGCGTAATCCTGAAACGGACTTTGGAGCCTGTCAGCTAAATATACCTGGAGAATCTGAGCCGGCGCAAACTGTTCGCGGTTATAGGCGCGGGAGTACTTATCCATTTTGGTGACCAGCTTTTCGGCTCCGTAGAGGTCGACGAAGCGGAAGGGGCCACCCCAGAAGGGCGGGAAGCCAACGCCAAACACCGAAGCGATGTCGCCGTCAGACTAAAATAAGAAAAAAAATAAGTTGGGTTCATGCTAAATTGTTTACCGGTTGGCTAATCACACCCTCTTGAAGGCAGTACATGGCTTCGTTGATGAAGCGGCAAAGCACTCTGATCTGCTGGTCCTCAACGCTGCTGACGTCGGCTGGGGCGGCCACGCGGTATTTCTTGATGATCTTTAGGGCCTCCTCGTTCGCCTTCTTGCTGCCCTGAAATAAATAACTGATCGTAACCAGACTTTTAGAAAATCCTGCCACGCAGAGACGCAGATTTGCGAAAACAGCTCATTTTTCGAATCTTGCGTCCGAAGCAAAAATCACCTTCTTGCCATCCCCATAATTGTAGAAGCCCTTGTTCGACTTCCTTCCCTTCATGCCAGCTGCCACCAGATCCGTGTAAATCTGTGGGTTTCCGCCGCCCACTCGCGCTCCGAGGGCGCCCGAGAGGAAATGAGCAACATGCTCTGCGACGTCCAGTCCCACCTAAAATTTCCATTCACTGCAACTAAAAATTTTACCTCATCAGAAAGAGTAACAGCGCCCACTGGGAATCCAAAATCAGTGGTGATCTTGTCGAGTTGCTCAGGGGACATACCCTCCTATGGAACAAATAAGGAATGTCGACTAAATGTACCTGGAGCAGCCTGGTGATCTCGCTCATGATTGGGGCCAAACAACGCACAACGAAGAAGCCAGGGCAATCCTAAACACGAATGAGAATGCAAAGAAGATAACGAACCTTGACCACGACGACCAGCTTTCCTTGCTTCAGACCCAGTTGAGCAGCAGTAGCGATGGTTTGCTTGGAGGTCCCTTCATGGGTGATGATCTCAAGAAGCTGCATCTTTTCCACCGGCGAGAAATAGTGCATGCCAATGACCTAAAAAAATATTGAAAAAGCCAATACGTTCATACATTTTCCGGGCGGGCGCTGGCTTTGGCGATATCGGCAATTGGCAGAGCGGAAGTGTTGGTTGCGACAATGCATTCCGGACGGACGATGGACTCAATCTGCTTGACCACCTGAAGGAAAGAAAGTTTCACAAGCCTTGGAAATCAAACCTTGTGCTTCAGGGAAAGATCTTCAAAGACGGCTTCGATGACAATATCAGCATTCTTCATCCGGCTGTAGTCGGTGGTCGCCTCAAGGTTGGTGACGATCCTGAGCGCAGCTATAGGATGAAAACACAAGTCGTACCTCTCCTTTTCCAAAAGGCTCAGCCTCTTCCGCTTGACAGCCGTGGAAAGATGGGTCAGAATCTGGTTCTGGCCGCGCTCCAAGCCCGACTGGTTGACATCAAGAAGCACCTAAAACATTTAGTTCGGCCAGAAATGACATAAACTCACCGAACGAATGCCTTTGTCAATGGTGACATTGGCAATTCCAGCCCCCATCAAGCCAGCACCGACCACGGCAATCTCCCTAAAAAGGATGTTCGGCCCATTAAAATAACTTGTACTTGACAGGTCGGCCTTCTCCATATTTGTTCTTCTTGCAATCAGTCGATCCATTGAAGAGACCGATCAAGGCGGCTGATTGTGTAGTCTTTGCCAGTTCACCGAAATACTAAAGAAAAAGGTTGTAATGTTTAGCAACAAAACCTGAGATTCCATAGCATAGCCTTTGGCCGGGCCACCGACAATTCCCTCGCGCACGACTTCCAGAATTTTCAATGGCGCCGGATAGTTGCCCTTCGTCAGTTTCATCACCTGAGCAACAGTGTTAGATGTGAGATGCGATATAGTCTTACCTTATCACGGGCCATCTTCAGCACGACATTGTCCAGTACCACCCGATTGTTCGTTACAGCGCTTGTAACACGTTCAAGCAATGGGCGCGTCCGATCGATCTAAATCAGAAAAAATGGAGCGACAACACAAACAATTCTACCTTCAAAGAGCCATTGATGAGATTTTTAGCTGCCGTGACAGCGATCTCTTCAAGATACCTAAACGGCCCGTATGCGTACGCGCAATAACACTTACTTGTGCGTGATTTCCGAAGCGGGTCCCAGTCCATCACCTAGGGGTTCGACGACGGAGTCAACAAGGCCCGCTTGCTTGGCTTTCTTCGCCTTCAGCTTTTTCCCGGTGAGCATCATGTCCAGCGCTGTCGGCAACGCGACGAGCTTAGGCAAGCGCTGGGTTCCACCGGCCCCGGGAAGAAGCCCGAGCATCACCTAATTGCAAAAGTGTTTGGGATTATGTAAGTCGATTACCTCTGGCAAGCCGAGTTGCGTCTTCTTGTCGTTGACAGCAATGCGGTAGTGGCAAGCCATAGCAAGCTCCAGACCACCGCCCAGGCACGATCCCATAATGGCAGCGACGATCGGCTTCTTCGAATCAGCCAATCGAGCGAACTGCTTCTGGCCCTCGCTGAAAACGAGTTTAAGAACTACAGAGATGTTTTAAAACATACCTGCTCATCCTCTGTGCGTCAGCGACGTCTTTAGCCTTCGACAACATTGTAATGTCGGCGCCGGCAACGAAGGAATTTGGCTTGCCGGACATCAAGACGATTCCCTTGACCGAATCGTCATTTTCCAATTTGTTGAAGGCTTCATTCAAGTCACCCGACAGCGCCTCGCCCAGGACATTTTCCTAAGGCCAATTTAAATTACTAAGTTTCAATAATACCTTGACATTCGGGATGTCGATCTTCAGCACAGCGACATCACCTTGCCTCTCGACCTTGACAGTGCCTAAAAGCGAAAAATTAAAAGTGACAACCACTTACAGCCGAATGTCTGCTCAGAAAATAACATACCGGCAGCTAGAGGTGATGAGCGTGATAACGGGCGGGCGGCGAACGCTGGAATCGATTAATATTAGGCTACTAGCAAGGTCAGCCAACTCAGCAAGAACAAACAATTGGATCAAAAAATTACCGAATATCCGCTGGGATTGATGGAGACGGGACAACATCACCTGCGTCTGTTACCCAAGTTTTCTGAAGCAGGATAATAGGGGGCAGAAACTGAGGGGGTAAAGTTGGAAAACAATATATAGAGGAAGCAAAAAGATCCACTGATACATCCAATTATCATTGTTTTAGTCAAAGGTACTAGATACACATTGGCAGGCCTCAATTTCCGCAAATCAAAATTTTAGAAAATAGGTCAAAGTCCGTAGTGATGATCAACAGGGAATTGGGGGCAAAGGACGCCGCAGGCTGGCAGGCCCACGATAAGGGGGCGTGCCTGTAGTCCGTACTCCCAATAGATCGCTTTTACCCTGGGTATTTTTTGTGAAGCCTGGCCGGACCAAAGTAGATGCTGCAAAGATACTTCTACAATTTCGAATCAAAAGAGCCAAATGAGACATTTTATAAGGGCCATCCACACTCCAAATAAATTTGACGCCTCGAACGAATATCATCTCGAATCTTTCTCGGACAAATGCATCGTTTATCAGCATTACTCCAGAGGTTTAGGGAAATCACATGTACGCGGATAAAAAAGAATCACACACAGAATCAAAGTCTCAAAGTAGTAGTATCACAGTATTAAATCAAATGCACAGATTCACAATTACATTGGCGCATGGCCATAAACCATGTTAATTTAAGTCTTACGATAAGCGAAAGAGCAGAGTGGCTAGGATCCAGTTGTTAGTCGCAAAATCATCCGGTCAATTCCGCGCGCACAAGAGCCATCCTCAAGGAGGCCAGAACATCACGCAGTTCGGTGTCGTTGATCTGCACTCCTTCATCCGCGTAGTACTTCGCAATCTAGGTAACAAAGATGGATATCAGAGAAGCACATACGGTGGAAACGATGGCCTTAGGGCAAGCTTGCAGCCACTCCACGAGCGCGATCGCAACCGGCAGATGCTCAGATTCGACGTGATGAAGATGCAGCAAAACAGAAGGCTGAAAATTAACAAAAATTCAACGATTATATAGAAAATCATACCTCTGCAGAGGCAATGATTCCGCGTTGGTGGAGCATCTCGAATGCCACACGGGCGACAGCGGCCGCGAGGAGAGATGGTTGCTGCTTGGCAGTCGTGAAGTGCGCCATAGCCAAGCATCCCAGTGCTTTCATCAAGGTCCAAGCGCCTTGGAGATTCTTTTCGGCCATCAGATCATGCGTCATGAACTAAAAAAAAAAAAGCCTGTAAACGGGGGGACGGGGGGGGGGGACGGAGGGGGAGGGTGGGATTCACCTGGAAAATACGCAGGAAGTGCAGGCAGTGGGTGTGGCTGATGTTGAACTCGAACAGGCGCAAGTGCTCCCTTTCCCACATGCGGATCTTGTTGGTGTCGTACCCATCGACGAAATGGTGGGCCACGCCGTGCAGGTATTCGCACTAAAAAAATCTACTTTATGTGCGAAGGGTTTTAAAAAACCTTGGATCCAATGTCAACCGCGGCAATAACCATCGTGGCAATATCTTGGTCACCGGCAGTATCAAGAGTCTTTTTATGGCTCTAAAAACAAAAATTAGTATAAAAAAGTAATTTACTTGAATGGTATTATCGATGAGATGCACGGCCAAGAAGAAAGACTCGAGTGGCCTTCGGCGATTTGCAAACACGGAGAAAGCGTAGTCGATGATCAGGCTCCGCTTACGATCAGTGATTGGAAGGGCGAAGTGGGTAGTATTGACCTGAAAGATATTACAAAAAAGCGAGACCGACGCACCTGGTGATTGAACACATAGTTGAGGTGGTCCATGTGGAAGTCTTCTTCCCCTTCGTTAGGCGGCGGAAGTGTGACACCGCTCACGGGTCGGTAGATGATCGTCTAAACGAATTATTGAATCAGCACCTGCTAAGAATACCTTTGCGGCCGGGATTGGAGGTGCTTTCGTGAACGGCCGCGTCTCTTTGGCGTTGTTGGTGATTTCTTGGAGACGGCGTCCTAGCGCTCCGAAGTCGAACATGCTCTAAAGATCTGATGAAAAAAGCAAGTATGTCCGGCATCAGAAGGTATGAGGAATCACAAGTTGAATAGGTCTAACCAGGCTCTATAGTTCTTGCGGTGTCATCTAAGCACCATCAATCATCTAAACCAAGAAACGGGGTTAGCAGGATCGAGATCGAGAGACCCGTATACACTCCGGCATACACTCCAACCCTTTCGCGCCCCTTCACGCCCTCCTGTAAATAACGCCCCCTGTATTTCGCGCCCCCTGTATTTAACGCTCTCCTGTAAATAACGCCCTGCAAAACGAGCGTTTTCCTGTAAATAACGCCCTTTTCGTGGTCATTTGGAGGGCGTTATTTACAGGGGGCGCGAAATACAGGAGGGCGCGAAAGGGCGTGAAGGGGCGTTAAATACGGGTTGCCGGATCGAGAGGTCCATAAAAACAAATGGATTTTCGAAAGAGTAGGTTTTTCTCTGAAAAGTGGAATAGACCGTTCGTGAGTTAGCCAGGAGCAACCGAGTATAAATCGAAACGTCGTGGAATTCCGCTGCAAAAAGGTTTTGGTTACGGTAAATGCCCTTTTTTATCGGAAATTGCGGAGTGTTACGGAACCGAGTAGCTTTTTGAAAACGGCGAAAAACGGCTACATTAAATTTAATTATATTTTCACTGTTATCTATATCTTAAATATTATATTAATAAGCACCATCCAACCGGTCGTCTCGCTGCATCTACATTCAGAGGCCTTTTCCATGGCACCCTGCGAGTGCTTGCTTTTTGTCAGGGGTCATCAAAATCCTTGTTACTATGCAGGTCTCGAAGGAATTTGCCCCAACGGTTTGCTTCTCCCGGGATACAAATCGGGCATCTAAGCGACGCACGTTGCTACCGGCAGCCTAATCCTCTCGAAATTCTTTAGTTTTTGGATCGACTTGTTTCAGAACTCCTTTTGGATGGCCGAGCTCGTGGGTTTTTGCCTTTGATGAGTAACGGTTTATAGGCGGATGCCTACCAACTGCAGGAAGTCGTCACGGTTCGCCCGATGTCGGCTCGGGTCACACGGCAGGTTTTGTAGAATGAAACTTCTTTGCAAAAATTTAGTCGCCGACGCCGAGGCCTGTTTCTAGAGATTCCATGCTGACACCTATTCACTCGCCGCAAAGGGAGCGGAAGATGACCACACGTTAGATCTTATATTTTTGTTTGTTTAGTTATACTATTGCAGCTGTTTCCCCGCTGGCCGTCTCGCCGACAACGCCACTTACCATCGCCGACGCCAAACAACTAGGGATTAAAACTTTTGGTTCTTTCGCATTATCGGGGGGGGGGGGGGACAAACTCTTTCCTAGGATCTAATTTTTCAAATCTAAATAGTGGCAGCGTTTCTAAATGGTTTTTCACTAGTCGTAAAAGTGAAAACTTTACAAGTTTATGTTGAAAAATATCAAAATTTCGATTTTTGATCAAAGTCTCTACTTTTTTTAAGTTTTTAGATAGTTTTTCTGGTTAAATCTAGTTATGTGTTACTCAAAACACTATTAAAACAGTTTCTATGAAGTTAATAGGTATTTATAGACTTATATAAGTACTTACTTGTACAAAAAAGTCCTGCCCCCCCCCCCCCCCCGATAACGCGAAAGAACCAAATTTTTGAGGTGATTTTTACGACTTAAAATTTAGTCAGTGAAACACCAGCTTTGCCTGCAAGTCTGGCAGCGCTCACCCCGGATGCCATCATCGACTGTCCCTTCAAAGAATTCGGCTGCACCCGACGTGGTCGAACCATCGACATCAAAACCCATATTCGGGATGACAAGTAATTATTCAAGCAAATTGATTTGACGATTAGTACAGATTCGATCATTTGGCGCAAATGTGCCAGTCTACGATCGACTTTCGGGCAAAGGCGATGGAAAGCATCACGGAGACGACCGGCAGCTTAGCGCTGGCCGCCAAGTTGACCCTTCGCTCGACGGCCATTGTCACGAAATTCAGGTGGGTCTTGGGTTCTTTCCCTTTATCGGGGGGGGGGGCAAAAATTCATTACGTATAAAAAATTTTGTTTAAACTTTTCGTTTTAACATGTTTTTCTATTTTGTATCCACTATACATATTTAGTAGCCAACTGACTTGGCGCATCGACAATTATCAGAAGCATTTTGAGGCAGCTCGGAAGGTGTGCCAAAGCTTCAAAGGCTATATTTTCTTTTAGGGGCGCGTGCCGGTCATCTACAGCCCGCCCTTCCACACACATAGGCATGGCTACAAAATGTGCGCTGTTTTGGCGCCGTTTGGTGAAGGAAAAGGTATATCAAAAAAACATAGCGCAAGTTTTGAATAGCGGAAGTCTATGCGATGAAATTGGTTTAGCTGTGCGTCAATACGTCTCGTTGTTCGTCTCCATCCTGCGCGACGAATATGACGCCATCCTGCCATGGCCCTTCAAATGCCCGGTGCGGATCAGCTGGATGAATCAAGATGGCAGCGAAGTGCATCGTAAGTTGTAGAGAAATATTCACGAATTATAGCTGGTTATCCCTAACCATAAAATCCGGTTCTTTCGCATTATCGGGAGAAGGTAACAATTTTTTTTGAAGAACTAACTTTTAAAATATAACTAGCGGAACTGTTTCTAGGTTTTCTACTATTCCCAAACGTAAAAACTTTATAATTTTTGCTAAAAATACAAAAATATGGCTTTTACGACCAAAATTGCCCTTTTTGGACCATAATTTCGACCTTTTAAAAAAGTTTGAAGGTTGAAATATAGTTTTATTTTACTAAAACATCGTTAAAACTTCCTATTCAGTTATTGGGAATTTCTATCTTTGTACAAAAATGAATATTTGCCCCCCGATACTGCAAAAGAACCGGAAATCCATATATTTAGTAACGGAATGCATTCTGCCGAAAGCGCTCCCCGAGAACGATCCATTCCTGGGAAGACCGAAGGCCGAACGCAACCCGGCTTTTGGGATACAGGTTAGAAGAAGAGATAGATGAATTATGATGTATAAATTTAGCGTTTTGCCCTCGTCGCTGACATCGTCAAGGGCAAGTACGTCGTCAACAATACGGCCTTCATCCGCGTCAATGTCGACGTCAGCAAGGTACCGACGCTTTGAGGCCGTACAGTCTGGGTAAATACCGGGGATAAATCTGTTAAATGAAATTCGCTTCTCTACAAAATTTCGAAATTTATACCAAAAATTTTTTAACAATTTATCGGCCACGCGAAGGGATAATTATTGATTGAATAGCCATGGGATTCGACGCTCGAAATACGTCCTGCGGTCCGAGGACGTGAAATGGACCGTCAGCCTCGATTTTTAAGTTTGTTTTTTGTTTTGCTCTTTTACCTTCAAGTGCATCACCACAAATTTGTCCTCGCCGATGATCGAGGCGGTGCGAGAAAACTAGGAAAGATTTATATAATTAATTTCCCGGTTCTTTCGCAATATCGGCGGGGAGGAGGCGGGAGTGGGACTTTTTTTCTTAGGATCCAATTTTTCAAATAAAAGTAGAGGGCTTGTTTCTAAACTTGTTTCACTATTCCTAAACCTATCTACGCCACAATTTTTTGCTAAAAGGACCAGAACATAGATTTTCGACAAAAATAGCCGATTTTCCACTTAATTTTCGCCTAAAAAAATTTCTAATGTTTTCCAGTTTTTTTGGCTTGAAATATAGTTAAATTTTACTAGCCAGACTATCAAAATACTTACTATTAAGTTGTTAGACATTTCTGGACTTTTGGACCCCCCCCCCCCGATATTGCGAAAGCACCATTTTTTCCCCATATACCGTGATAGCCACCGTCTCAGCCGAGTCAATGGCCGCATAGACCGGGCTGACAACATACAGCCTGTTATCCGAGCATTTCACCTAAAAACTGTCGATAGGTTGTTTTTTTGGGCGTTTTGTTGACCTTTATAACCCGGCGTGCCCAGGAGGTATTTGTGAAAGTAATTGTCTGCACCCTGGCACCCCCACGATCCCACCAGATATCCTTCTCCGAGCACATCAGAGAATCTGAAACAGGGGCAGAAAATATAAATCTATAAGTTGCCTAAGTAATATCACTAATAACAGAAAAATCGATTCTTTCGGTTATAGGGGGACCGAAATTTTTCGTATAGGTATAGTAAATTAATAGCAAATGTTTTAATAGTGTTTTTAATAAGATAAAGTATATTTCAGCTAGAAAAACTATCCAAAGATTTTAAAAAATGTTCCAAACTTCGAAATTTTTGGTCAAAACTCGGCATTTTGTACTTTTTAATAAAAATTTAGAGAGAAAATTTTTAGTAAAAAAAACAGTTCAGAAACACTTCCGTTATTTATATTTGAAAAATTGGATCCTAAGAAAAAAGTTGGCCCCCCGCTATTACAAAAGAACCAAATGTGATGTAGTGAGATTTAATACTAAAAATAAGATAGAATAGCCTACCCGGCTCTCTGTAGTCTTTCGATGTTTTCTTGGTGTTATTATCAGGGCTCCGAATTGAAATCTATAAACATTAATACAAATGATTCTAAAAAAACAATTAAGCCCACCGGTTTGATTCCCGCTTGTGGCTCGCATTCAAGGTGCAGACTATCGAGTAGCATCTTTGGTGTCCACCGGAATAATTCGGGCAGCAAGTACGAGATATGATTAGGGATTGCCTGAAGATTCTATATTTGAGGTGAGAACTTACAGTTGTGTGTTGCAATATAATTTTCTCTTTCTTCCACACCGCTTCGTCGACGGTGATCTACACGGCGTTTTCAGCGCTAAAATGGTGCGCTCACCGTCAAAATCCCGCTCTCTCCGGGGTTGAGGTACCAAAATACGGGATAGATTCGAAAAAGAATCGTGTCCGAGCATTTCACCTCAACATCGTTTAATCGCTATTAAAGTAATACCTTGATCGCTCGCTTCTCCCTGCCGCGATTTTCGATTTGGACCTGCATCTAAATAAACTAAATCGTAATAAACGCGTCATTTTCCTGTCGGGCGTTTGGATGCCAGAAGAGTTTGGCCGGAATCGCGACCAACGTCTCGCCATCATCGGCCAAAGACGACTCGGCAGGCGGTTCTGAATTTGTGGGATTTTTAGCTATACTCGATACCCACCTTCTTCACTACAGCTTGAATCAACATTCCGTGACACGGCCTAAAATACCCAATCTCAAAAACCTAGTGGTCTACCAAAAGGCGCTTCTGATAGAGATCAAGCTCCTTTCGCCTCTGAAGAAGCTCTTCAATCTGCGCCCGTATTTGATGCTTATTCTGAAATTTATAAATTCGTAGTTTTCTCGCCTGTTGAACTTACCCCAACGTTCGAGCTCTTTTCTTCCTTCTTCTTGACCAAACGGTCGTTATTCTTCCCGCGGCTTGAAAATGTCTGTAGCATAGTAGATTCTAAAGCCGACTCGAAAAGTTTGGTTGAGGCCGGCCAGTATCAGATCTACATTCACGACCCATCGAATCAGTCTCGGCTTAGAATTATTAATGAGTTCTATTCTTTCAGGTGTCCGTCGATGTCCTTCTCCACAAACAATGCAATGTCATATTTATCTATTCATGCAGCTAGTCATCGCACAGAGGCTTTACAATTTTTAGCTCGACTCGCTCGTTCACGTCCGTGATGTTGTACTCGTTGGTGTCGTTGAAGGGTTGCGTTTCTAACGGGGTGGGAAGGATAGTGTTTTTGGGTTTCCGATACCTGGAATGATTTTTCTTGCGTGGACTTCCTCTTCATCAAAGCGGTCCACATCATATTCGGCATTGATTCCGCCTTGGAACGCAGCCCCGGCTTCTACTCAAAAATAATTACGCAACTCTAGCAATATACCTGATTTTGGGATACATTTTGGCTTTTCGTCAGTTTCTTCTCGCGCATCACCTAGCTGTGGATCAGGAAGGACCAAGTAACCATCTGAACATGTTGAACAGAGCACTCTGGCGGTTACCTTTTACCGGCTTGATGTGCTCTACGGGCTGAATGTCTTCGAAATCTAGACAAAATACCCTAAAAATAAAAGGACAAACCTCTTTTCTGAATTTTATCGCCAGTGGAAAGCGACAATAGCGCGCAAATTAATAGGAGGAATTTCATCGAGGTTCAATGACTCACGTTGGGGCCCAGAGGTTGAGCAATCCCAATCACAGGCTATCCCAACGAAAGAGGAGAAGGACGAGAGAAACGAGCCTAATCAATGTCAAGCTATCCCCCGAAAACAAAGGCGCGGCAGCATGCTCCACCTGGTTGCTCTGTATGTCCAATATTTTGTTTGTCGATTTGTTTACCCCCACCCTGTTGTAGAAAGCTTTCCAAAGAATACCTAAAATTTTATTTCACGATGGTTCCAGTAAGACATAAACAAACAATCATTAGCAATTGTCTACCCAAAGATGAGTCCGGAGCAAGAAAATGTACATAATAGAGCTAAAACACTAGACGATATCGGTTTACAGGTCGGCGATCGGCTTGCCCTTCTCCTAAAAAAAGGAAAATAATTCAAGACGTAGGTTTTCAAAATACCTCATAGAGCTTGGCAAGCTCTTGCGGGCAGGTGTGCATGTAACCCTTGTTTGCGGCGCAGATCTCCCTCATCCGGGTGTACGGGTCGTAGTTCCTGAAAAAGAACAATGTTTGCAGAAAACCAGACGGCAAACGCTGAGGCGCTACAAACAAAAACTATATTTCACTGTCAATCACCTATGAGCAGTGAAGAATTCCCTTCTAGCAAAGCGAGAAAATAAAAAAGCATACTTGAAGAAATTCTCGTATTTCTCGTGACGACGGTGAACATATCCGAAGTAGAAGAGGGCGGTTGAAGCGATTCCGGCCGCCATTGAAACCCAAATGGCGCGTCGGCCATAGGTGTGCATCATCTGTCGCATCTCTGCTGGAGGAGACATCCTGAAAGAAGATTTTCAATGAGTTAGTCACAAAAAATGATGAAGCATTGAATGAAGAAAAACGAAGCGTCCGAATCTCAATAGAAAGACCGTCCCTGTTCAAAATGGTGAAACCAGCAGTATGTTGTCAAGCGTTTGCTGTCCACGAATTTGTTCCGCTATAAGCTGCCATCGCAAAGTGGGAAAGCAAAAAAAAAACATTTTCAAAATTTATAAACCCGAAATAACGCGGCAACTTCTAAAGAAGCATGGGGTACAAGGGTACGATTAGAAAGCGCGCGAGCTTGCCGACAAAAGGAAAAGATGACAAATTAAAACGAATCAGCAAAAATGTAATTCAAAAGAGTTGGAATTTGAGTTTGCTTGAACACATTCTTTTATTTAGCCGCACCCCGCGCACGCGACGCGCCAAATGACGGAGGATGTGTTTTAGCCTGCGACACGCCAGTTCAGCACGCAACGCGCCTTCTCGAGCCCGGGCGCTAGAATTTGTAATCGCTCTATCTTTTGTCAACGCGCGTTTAGGATAATTTCCGTGACTTTATATAGATAAACGTATATTAATAAACTCATTAATAGATGCTGCTACCTTTAGAGCAGTTTGAACATGACCTCCCCGCTGGTTTTCGAATAGCCTCGCGTGACAAGGCCGCCAGCATTAGTGTCGATTGTTTTCGATACCTTATCGCCTCTTATCTTGAACTTCTTTGACCTGTTGGTTGTCCATGGATCACCACGTACTCCTTCATTTCCAGAATTTTTATTTTCCACTTTCTCTTTTCTAGGACCCCCTTATTTCTTCATTTCAAGGTTTTATCCCTTCACTATGTCGGGATATTACGGATACGGCTATGAGGAGGTCGGTGCCTACAACCCCCGCACCCACTACACGGTCGCTCAAAATGCTGGTTTCCATCTCGGGTCGGGCGATGAAATGCCACGAACTCTGTAAGTTTCTCATAAAAACTCAACTTCTCTTTAGCTATGTTGGTAACCTGGATCCGAGCATCACGGAAGAATTCCTCTCCACACTGTTCGGCCAGGTTGGCGTGGTGACCAAGGCCAAAGTTGTATATGATGTAAGTTTTGGTTTGTTTCCCCTACCCCCTTTCAGGATGGGTTGCGCGGTAACACTTTCTTTTCCGGCGGCGACGATTTTTTTTGCTCTTTTTATTTTGACCGTAGCACATCCCCGCATTCTCTAGATTGTCGTGGACACGAGCCGCCTACCACCCTCAGGCACCTCTCCGAAATCGCCATTGTCCGAGTAATTTTGCTCATACTTTTTTTGATTTTTCAACGCAGCATTAACACTAGCGCGCCTAAAACAAATTGTTAGTGGGGGACGCGCTACTCAAGTTTGGATAGGACGGCCTAGATGGCAGGGCGCCCAGTCGTCTCTTCAGATCTATGGACATGTTCTGTTTTCAGCCGCACAGCGACCCCTATGCTTTCATCGAGTTCACCGAACACAATGAGGCCGCAAACGCCTTGGGCGTGATGAATCGAAGGGTTCTCCTAGAGAGGGTAAGCATACTGTCTTTCAAAGCAGCCTATATTTTTCTTGTTTTAGGAACTAAAGGTCAACTGGGCTACTGAACCCGGACAGCAACAGGTCAAGGTTGACACAAGCAGGCACTTCCACGTATTTGTCGGCGATCTCAGCCCTGAAATCGACAACAAAGTGCTGAAAGAAGCTTTCATCCCGTTTGGAGAAGTCTCGTAAGGAATTTTATCTTTTCGATAATCTTTGTTTTCTAGAGATGTAAAGGTCATCCGAGACCCATCTACGCTCAAATCGAAGGGTTATGGTTTTGTTTCTTATCCCAAGAGAGAGGTAATCAATTATTTTGTTTCCTTAGACCGTCGTGATTATAGGACGCTGAACGTGCCATCGAACAAATGAATGGACAGTGGATCGGCCGGCGCACAATCCGGACCAACTGGGCCACCAGAAAGCCTAATGAGGGCTTTGGGGGTGAAGCAGGAGGACACCACGGTGGTGGTGGTGGCGGAGGCGGTGGTGGTGGATACCGCGGAAGGGGAGCTGTAAGTGTTTTTTTAGGGTTTCTAATGTTCGTTTAGTTGAACTATGACGACGTCTTCAATCAAACGACTGCCGATAACATGTCTGTCTACATTGGGGGTGTCGCGCAAGGTGTCAGCGGTAAGAAGATTTTTTCCTGATGACATTTATTTTCTTACAGAGGAGGATATCCGAGCCAACTTCCAACAATTCGGCTCAATTGATGAGATTCGCCTTTTCAAAGCACAGGTTGTGTTTTGATTTTATTAGACATCATCTTTTTTTCTTAGGGATACTCCTTCGTGCGCTTCCACAGCAAGGAGTCTGCTTGTCGTGCAATCTGCGAAATGAGCGGCAAGGAAATGTGCGGACAAGTGGTGCGATGCAGTTGGGGAAAGACCGATGTGAGACCTTTGGTTATTTCTATAACTGTTTCTTAGCAGGCCGGTGGTGGCGCTGGACGTGGAAGTGGCCCCGCGCAGCCTGGCCCCGGTGGTTATGGATATGGTTACGGATCGGCCGGAGCCTACAACCAAACCCAAACGGCCCCGGCTGGACTCGGAACTGGGGCTGCCGGTGGCTACAACCAGCAATACTATCAGCAGTACTACAACCAGTACTACCAGAACCCACAATATCAACACGGGTATATCATCAATTTCCAATAAAATCTCGATTTTAGTGGCTACTATCGCGGCGAAAACCAGTGAGGTCCCGACGCCTTCGCCATCTCCTCCTAATTTATCACCCGCTCTATTCGTTAACCTTCATCCCCTCCCCCTTTAATCGTCAATAGTTTAGATCTCGAACTCTCCCGAACCTTTACATTTATAAACGTTTCGGATCGCTTAAATTGTTGGTGTAATTCCCCAAAAAATCTTACGTATACATTCTACGATTTACGCGTATGTATTGGTTGAAGGAATCGACGGCGTTTACTTTTACTTTTCTGGTTGGATCGTGTTGACACCCTGTTCGCTTCGCTTCGATTTCTCCCATGCATGAGTTAAAGTTTTATTCCTCCCCATGGGTTATTTGTTTTTGTTATATAAACTTTCCGACGGTGGATCTTGTGCAGCACAAATACGTTTTGGCTCTCGCGGCATTAATTATTTACTATTTTAAACGGACACGGACAAATGCATATACCATACAATATTCACAGATCTATGTCGGTTTCGAAAGAGGAAGTCGAACGCGAGCAAGAGGAAAGGAAGGAATATGTTAAAAATATCGGCATTGAGTATCGATATGGATGTTATGAGGTACGCGAACTGTCCTATCTATTAACCGGAACGGATCAGGAGAAGCGGCCGGAATCCTGTCAGCTATTAGCTGAATATATGGAGGCCATTGACTCAAATTTCAAGGTAATAACTTTCATTAATTCATGAGGGTTTACATACTTTAGGCCGCCCTCACGCTATACAAAGAAAATTGCGAGACAAGAAAGTACCCCAAAAGTTGCTTCAAGTACGCCATGTATCTACTTTCCGGCAAAGGTTCGCCAATTTGGGGGTCTTAAATTCGGAATAGAGTGCGAGCCCGGCTTAAAGAAGATGATTAAGCCGCTAGAAATATCTTGCGATGCGAACATTAGCCGGGGATGCCGGTACGTGTTTGATTTTGTCGTCATTTCTTTGTTAGGTTTCTTTCACTTGTCCACTGGAATGGCGAGAAGGATCGCCCAGCCAATAGCAAACTGGCTGAGAAATACATGGCCAAGTAGGTTCATGGATTGGCCAATTATTCATTTTTAGAGCTTGCGAATTGGAGGATGGTGAGGCTTGCTGGCTGCTCTCAACCTGGTATATGGGCCGTGAGCAAAAATTTCTGAATGCGAGAAAGGGAAAGGTTATATTGCAGAGCCTAAGTTTTATGTCTTCTTTAGGATGCCGATAAAACAGACTTGGGCACACTCGTACGCGACATGAACAAATCTCTTTACTATGGCATCAAGGCATGTGAACAGATGATCCCTCACAGCTGCGCCAATGTTGCAAGGTTTCCAATTTCTTGCTGGTACAAAAATACTATTTCTAGAATGTATAAAATCGGTGACGGGATCGAAAAAAATGAAGACAAAGCTAAGGAATTCTTGGACAAGGCCACCGAAATAATGAAGGAGGCCCAGTCTCGCGAGAACACGGCCGGCTTTACTGGTTGATTGATGTACGCTTGTATTATTTTTTTGATAGAATTTGGAATTTCTAGTTAGCTTTCAATAGGTATTCTTTTCTTGATCTTTTTTTTGTCGGCACTGCTCAAAGGAGTTCTCTCGGTTGTTCATAGATGATTTATGTCTTGTGGGAGTCGCTTTGAAATGAACTAATAAAATCACATCTCCGTTTCTACAACACGCCATTTTGGGGGATGTGGTTCTTTAATGCCCTTCTAGTGGCGCTAGGGTTTGTGGTAGTTTTTCTTTTATTTGTTTATTAGCTCGGTGGCCTATGGGTTCGAGGACCTGAAGGCCAATTGGTTTTACACGTATGAAAAACAAGCGGCGAGCTCCTCGATTCGGCCCTGCGACAATTTCTATCGGCATGTAAGTACCATCCGGTAATATGATGGATCGTACTTGATTAGGTCTGCCCTAGAGACGTTAACAAAGAGATGGTCATCTCCGAGTCGGCCCGGAATGTCGTAAAAGCGTGGCTCTCCGCTAATAGGACCCAGATCCTAGAAGCAGATCACACCAAAACATTGGCATTTTTATTTTAGAGCTTACAATTTCACCTAGATGCTACTCAGTATGGTCCAGCTGCAGTACGGGAGTCGCATGAAGTTCAAGCCGGTCCAGGTGGATTGGGCGGCACTGCAGCACATCTTTAAAAGGCCGTCCGCCAGCCACCCGAACAGTCCCCATTATGGCTTGGCACAGTTTTTTCGACCCTATTTTTATGATGCCATCTGAAAGAGCGTGGCCGAATTAGTAGGGTGGCATAGTTTTGAAAGTTTAAAAAGTTGATTTTTGGGGTTTAAATGGCCGTTAAAGTTGCCGACATCGAAAATCTATCTCGAAAATTACTAGACCAAATTTGCAGAAAATTTGTGAAAATACCTAATTTTGGATCGAGATCATTTCTCTAATACATTTCGAAACCTGAAAACGGCTGGAACATAGGAATCTCGCGTACTAAAAATAGTTTTTTAAGATTTTCTACTTAATGGGAAAGCGGCGGCATCCTGAAAGTAGCATAGAAAGATGCGCCAATTTTTTCTACGTCGAATGATGTGTCTTTTAGGATGCCGCCGTTTTCCCATCATCTAGAAAAGTCGTGATCTCTGGATTCAACAAAAGTAGCCTTAGAAGATCGGGGGCTGCTAATGAGAAATATAAAAGATTGCGGAAAGCATCTAGAGATCAATGCCACCCATTATCAAAAAAGAACAAAATGAAATTCCTCATCTACGCGAAGTTGAGTACCGAGGGGAATCGAACCCGCGATGGTCCGCCTGCGGGGCTCTGGGGACAGAGGCTAGAGGGCGCCGCCGCTTCCCAGGCGAACGACCCGAGTTCAATCCCAGCCCCCTTCTAGAAATCGAATTTCTTTTTGCTCTTTTTGCAATTGACTTGGCTGCGCTTCTAGAAGCAAGTGGGTAACTCCCCGTTTGCAAATCTGGATATTTTTCTCTTTTTCATCAAGAAAATGCGGTTTTTACAGATGATGGGAAAACGGCGGCCTCCTGAAAGACACGTCATTCGACGTAGAAAAATTGGCGCAAGTTTCTATGCTACTTTCAGGATGCCGCCGCTTTCCCATTAAGTAGAAAATCTTAAAAAACTGTTTTTAGTACGCAAGATTCCTATGTTCCAGCCATTATCAGGTTTGGAAATGTATTAGAGAAATGATCTCCATCCAAAATTAAGTATTGTCACAAATTTTCAGCAAATTTGGTCCGGAAATTTACGAGATAGATTTTCCATGTCGGCAACTTTAGCGGCCCTTTAAACCCCAAAAATCAACTTTTTAAACTTTCAAAACTATATGGCCCCACTAATTCGATTATGCTCTATCCGATGGCGTCAAAAAAAACAGGGTCGAAAAAAACCGTGCCAAGCCTATTTCGGTCCTCCCGCAAACGGCCTTTTAAAACGTTCAGAAACTGCTCGACTTTGCGGGCCAGCTAATAGATACAGTCGCCATCTATCGTGGTGCACTGAGATACGCGTCGACATTCGTGCGAATTAAACAATTCTTGGCCGACATTCCAGCAAAATTGAAGGGTAGAGAGTATTGAAAGGATAGATAGGCCTTGTTAGCCACTCCAATTCACGCGGCGATCATCGATGATGATGTGCGAAGCTACGAGGAGATGCTGTCCAAGATCGTATCGAATTTTCAACAGCTTGATAAGTTAGTAGATATCTTCTATACTTTTTTTATCAACTTAGAACCTATTCCTCAATCACGGTAGACAACTACCAGGAGATGGTGGCTCTCCTGCCGGATGTCATTCGAAAAGTGGTTGGCCCGGTTCATGCGGAGGCCACATATGTCCAAAGGTAAGTTCCGTAGCTGATTTTCGACGGAGTTTAGAACAATCATAAAAGAAGCGCTGGAATGGGGAGCGATAAACGATGAAGGCCATGTTGTCGTCTTCCCCTCGACGTTCATCCCAGCATTGACGTCGGAGAATCCGGCCCATATGGTCAGGTTTTTCAATAATAATACTTTGAATTACAGTACGCATCGCTCGGCTACATTCTCTCGCACGAGATCATGCACACGGAATCGCTAAAGGCCGAGCTCGTCAAGTCGTTTCCGGCGGAATGCGTGAAAAATGCCTCTCAAGCGACGTGTGCCCGTTTTCAAGAAGTATGTCGGATTTTCAAGGGATGAATACTAGCCTGCTTTCCTGTAGGCCCCATGTGAAAGCGGGGAAGATACGTTCGACGAGGACTTTGCCGATATCTTTGGGCTCTACACAGCCCTGGAGATGTACAAACGGGTTACCGAACAGGTTAAAAATTGTTGACTAAAGCTTGACCCAATTTTAAGCCGAACATCACGTCATTTTTCACTGCCTATGCCACTGTTTGGTGCAATTGGTTCTTTGATGCCCAACAAGAGCTGTAGGGGATAATTATTCGGTTCAAATTACCATCGTCCGTTTCTCATAGAGGTGATATCCACTCCGCGGCTTATGTTCGAACCAACAACCCGCTATCGCTGATCGAGGATTTCAGGCTTGTCTACAGTTGCAGCCCGGAATCGAACATGATGGTGAGGGAATTCTCGAGATTTAGGATTCGAAATCATATCAATTTAAAGGGATACCGACGACTGCGGTCGATCGGTCGACTTTTGGCACGTAGCCAACAGGGCAAAGAACGCGCGCAAGAGCGAGACGCAGAGACATTTTCTTTCCCTCGCGTCACCGATTACTTATGCCGTTGTTATCGCTTTAATGCGAAAAGCATTTCAGCAACGCATGTGCCCAAATCAACAACCTGGATTGAGTTTTTGAGTAAGTGCGATAAATTTTTGTTGAACGCCGAATGGATTAAAGGAATATCGATAACGCAACTGGGTGCCTACAAAATTCCAGCTAAATATTACGTTCTACGCCATTTCGGTTTATTATTCGGCAAATTAATGTACACACAAGGAAAAACGTGAGCAGAAGCAACGCTAGAATCTCTACTAAAAACCGCCTATCAGAGGGAGCGAGCGGAGCAGCAAGGCATTTGGACAAAGGGCACTACAGACATTGTAGACAATACAGGTATAAAATCTCGAGTACAAAACGAACCAAAAAAACATCTCATTCACAGAGATCGAAAATGACGAACGGGAAAAGGAAATATTATTGAGTGACCGGTGCCAAGGAAAGATAACCGTAATTCTCCATAAATATCTTAAAAGGAACAACAGTGATTAGCCGAGGGTGAGGGACGATAACTTGATGCATTTTGATTGCCGGAATTCAGAGGCCTCCAGAATTTGGTCGAGAAGACGTCGAAGACCTTGAGCTCGACTGGGGCTCGCTGCTGGCCGCCCCGGTGCTGCCCGTCGCCACGCTGTTCAGATTGTTGTTGTTGTACATGTTGAATCTAAAAGAGACTTTCTACAAAAGTTTCGAAAATGAGCCTCGTCATAAAGCGGCACTGGGTCGTTAGCGGGGGCATCTATCTAGCCGATACATTCTCAGCCTTTTTATAAAACGTTTTATAGCGTATTTTTATAGTTTGTAGCAGTTGTTCACGTCTTCTTTAAAAACCGACATTTTTGACAATTTACGCAAAAATTTTTTCAAAATTTTATAATTTTTAGGAAATTTGATTCGTAACAGTTGTATAAAAAGCGACATAATGAAGTGAATAACCATAAAAGCCAGCAATATGAAAAGTAAACTCACAGCGTCCCATCAGCATCTTCGATCATCACCGTGCCATCGTCATCCGAGTCCTCATCCGGCGAAACAAACACCAATTCCAGCTCCAGGTCGCCTTGCTGAAATTAAAAAAATAATGGTCTTGTGAGATCTCAAACCTGAGTGGACAAGATCTCGACGGCTTCTTGATGCTTCACGGTCCGCAAATCGATGCCGTTGACTGATAGAATGGCATCGCCCACGAACACGTTGCCGCACCTAAAAAGAAGTTAGTATTATCAAATTAAAGCTTGCCGGTCGGCTGGCTGTCCGGGTTGGATCTCCGAAATAACGATTGGAAGAGCATGTTCGGAGCCGCCGGTGATGGAGATTCCGAGGCCCTCGTGGGGTTGCTTGGCAAGAGCCACCCGCCTTGTCTCGTGCACGCCCTTCCCGCTTACGCGTCCGATCCCAAGCCGTATTCGGACAAGCCAAGCCCTTCGTTTGTCCACGGCCACTAAAAATTATCGTTATCTGCTAGTTTGTTGAAACAAAGGCCCTATTCTCAATAAAAATACGGTTTTTAGCATCATGGGAAGTCTCTTAGATTCTATATCAATATCTCTGTTTTTCCTCATTTTGCACTTTTTTCTTTACCCTACCGGTTGAGTAAAACCATTCATATATCATATCTGGATCGCATCTACAGGAAACTTAGTTGTATTTCGAGCGTCAAAACTATACAGAAAATTTATAACCCGTAGAATTCTGCTCCCAAAACCGTTACTTTTGTTTTTTAGCAAAAAAGAAAATTTTTACGTACGACATATCCTTTATTTGGCTACCCATCATTACTTCTAAAAGTCATTACTTCCAAAATCATTACTTCTAAAAGTCATTACTTCTAAAAGTCATTACTTCCAAAATCATTACTTCTAAAAGTCATTACTTCTAAAAGTCATTGCTTCTAAAAGTCATTACTTCTAAAAGTCGTTACTTCTAAAATTCTAAGCGTATTTTTGGGCATAAATATGCCGAAAAACTGGTAATCCGGCATACCAAATTTTAGAAGTAATGTTTTTAGAAGTAATGATTTTAGAAGTAAGGATCGTACCCCCTTTATTTATATTAGGATCGGGTTCTAGAGAAATATCATGCTCCCGATAATGCGAAGGAAGCAAAAATACAAACCGACAAGCCCTGATGACTGTCTTATGACGATGAAGGTGGATTTCGGCCTCCAGCTGATTCCACAACCGGTCGTGCTCGACTCCCCGCATGTTCCGGCCAAGAAGCTGGATCTGCTGGATCCTGCCAGCCAATTCCTAAAAGGCATATCAATCCGCACAACAATAAAACCTTGTCAAGGTATTTCGCCGCCAGCCGCGCACCAAACACCTCGCTCTCCAGAGCAGCAATCAAACGCTTATGCCGATCGGATTCGCGTTGCAATTGTTGCACCTAAATGGAAGCTGCTAGAAGCATAAAAACTAAACCTCATATTCCAGTTTCAACGATGGGATCACCTCATCACGGAAAGCGTTGATCTCAAGATCCTAAACATCTGTATCACTTGTATTGTTCCCATACTGGTACCAGCTTCTTTTTGATCATATCCGACTCGTGCGGCGCCGTCTTGGAGTGCAGCTCACATTGGAGGCTATGCACCTAAAACGAATTAATTCAAAAAAATTAAATTGAATTACCTGAACAAGCAACTGCTGCGACTCTTGTGCCGCTCCGCGCTCACAGTCCTCGCCGACACCAAATCATCGCGAAGGTTGTTGCTCTGAGCACGAGTTCATGTAGCTAAAAGGGAACGGACCTCATTCTGAACGCGGGAAAGGGCGTGGTGCAACGTTTGCGTTTTGTGGAGAAGCTGCGCGAAGCACGAGGATAGGGCCGTCATCTTCTGGCGTCCCTCGTACGTGATCTCAACCTATGATTTTCGAACAAATTCCCATGTGCAAGTGGTCACGACGTCACAAGCGGTGCGAACCCATAGCAACCTAGCTAAATATTCACCTGATCTGAATCGACCTCGCCGAGCAGGATATCGAGCGACACGAATGCTTTGTCGAATTCCTTCTCAACCTAAAAATATTTTAAAAAAATGGTTCAACAAAACAGCCAAACCTGATCGATCCAGGCTTGTCCAAGGACGCCCGGAATCGGCGACGACTGGACAGCCGCATCAGACATCTAAAAATCAGTCTCCTTCTGGCAAAACGATCTAGCTAAAAATAAACACATAACTTCACACAAAAACGAACTTTAACAATGTCCGGGACAAAGTTAAGCCTTTGACGATAGTCGAGCTGTGTTCCCATTTTGGCAGCTCAAAGAAGCAAACGTGCACCACAACACCTAGACGTACATAAAGCATACAACTCATCCATGCACCACACCGCCAAAAATCCAACAAAACGAACCGAATTACTGGAACTTGAGTTCACCGTTGAGCGTCACGTCTCTAAAATTATGATATGTATTTTGTTAGAATAGCAAGCAAACAGACAACAAAAATTCAGAGAAAAATCGGCGACCTTCAAGGAACAGCCGGCAACTATTAAGACAATCGCTCAAGCCGTCTGGGCTTAAAAGAGATAGTTTAGAATTGGAGAAGCTCTTTGAGGAGGAAAAGCGGGCAGTAGGGGGTAAATAAGAGGAGAATCAACTTGTGGCCGCCAAGGGATTAGAGCACGAGCCCATTGCCCCCGGGGCAGCAGTTGTGGCTTGCCGAAAAACGTCTAGAAGAAGTATATGTCGGTTTGTGGGGCAACATTGGCAAAATACTATTTTGCACATGGCATATCTATAGAAAAATTAACTCGTTTACCAAAAACTACTTTCGCCGCGTGAAATGTGGAAAATCACGAAAAACGACGCCCAAGATCGGCAATCAACATTGAGATTTCCGGGGAGCCCCTGGAAGCTCGGATTTCACTGAAAAGAAGCGCCCCGAGCCAAATAGAGGATGATCAGCGCCCCCACCCCTTATTTTAATAGCGAAAAAGGGCAAATTGTGGCGTGAAGCCGAGGGGAATCTAGGCTGGGCGCCCAATAAATTTGGTTAGGTTGGGGCCCCAGCGGGCCGGAAGTCAATAAGGGAAAAAGATGTGCGCGCTGAGGAGCGACTGGCGGGTTAATGCGAGAACTGATTTGAGTACGCTGCGTTATTTACAGCTTTTACAACGTTTTTGGTACTATTGAAGTTGGGGGGCAAAATTTTTTTAGGTAATTTTAGGCTAGTTGATCAGTTTTTCGTGGCTAATCCAGCGCAATACTCATCTCCTAAGCTAAGCTAAGCCGAAGCACAGTTAAATTGAGCTTGAACAAAGCTAAGTCGAAGCCAAAAGCAGTGATGCTGTGACGAAGCCAAGCTAAGGACCAGATACTAAGGCTTAGGCTAAGCATAGGCCTAAGCCTAGGTTAAACTAGTTCTAAGCCTAGCCTAAGTTCAGCTTAAGCCTAAGCTAAAGCCTAAGCCAAGCCAATACTAAGCTAAGCTAAGCCTAAGCCAGAGAAAAACTGACTAATTAGCCCAAAAATGACCTAAAAAAATTTTGCCCCCCCAACTTCAATAGTACCACGTTTTTTAACGTCACTTTCAGGGCGTTCTGGCCCGGCAGAAGACGTCAAGACGAATCGGCGCTGCAAAAAGGGGGATGAGGGTCATAACTTTGCGTATGCATGAATGGGTCTACATCGATAGGGGGAAGAATAGAACGGAGCAATTAGCAATATTTCCGACCAAAAGAGATGATCGATCCTTTTCTATGGGTTGAAGAGAAGGGGCAACCCGTATTTAACGCCCCTTCACGCCCTTTCGCGCCCTCCTGTATTTCGCGCCCCCTGTAAATAACGCCCCCTGTATTTAACGCCCTTCTGTATTTAACGCCCTCCAAATGACCACGAAAAGGGCGTTATTTACAGGAAAAAGCTCGTTTTGCAGGGCGTTATTTACAGGAGAGCGTTAAATACAGGGGGCGCGAAATACAGGGGGCGTTATTTACAGGAGGGCGTGAAGGGGCGCGAAAGGGCGTTAAATACGGGTTGCCAAGAGAAGGGAGGAGAAAAGAAAAAGCTTTTCGTTTTGATCAAATTTTAATTTACGCCAGCCTGGCTACGCGTGCATCCAAATTACGGAATATGACCGTATTTAGCCGATTTTTGTAGTCGTAAGGATTTTTTGTCGTTGGCGCTCAACTAGTAAGAAAAAAAGGGTATGTTTAGAATAAATAAAAACCAGTCAGAAAAAATGATTTAAAAAATTCTGCTGAGCCAGCGACAAGCAGCGTGCACGCGGCTTGACCCGAAGCGTCGCCACACGAAATTACACAATGCCGAAATTTCGAATCACATGACAAAGCCCATAGTGAAATCATTGGCCCTGCAATGGCCATATCCGGGAATGTGAAATGTCAAAGGATGTCCGAGAAGGGTGGGCTATGCGGTGTGGTGCGGGCTGGCGGAGGACGAGGCGGCATTGGATGGCCCTGTGATGGGTTGGCCCCTAGAGGCCTTCTGAGCTTGTGCTCCTCCCACTAAAAAGCGCCCCATCCTCGGCCAACCTCTCGGCATATCAGATCTGCCTGTGTGTTCGCCCTCCTCCCTTCTTTTGACGACCATTATTGGTGATTGAGCGTGGTCGGGCTGGAGTCGGGGTTTTTTTTTTGGCGGGGAAAAGTGCGCAGTGGGACGCATTTGACTGGTGGCTGCTGGGCGGCTATTTTTGTGCGTCTGCATAGAGGCGTAAATAGGGCTCTATCCTAATAGCGGGGACCATAGAAATTATCGTGGACCATAGAAAATATCGGGGACCATAGAAAATATCGTGGACCATAGAAATTATCGTGGACCATAAAAATTATCGGGGACCATACGAAATATCGTGGACCGATCGCGAATATCGGGGACTTTAAAATTGGCCATTTAGGCCAAAATTTCGGCTGATCAATATCGTGGACTTTAAAATTTGGACTCCAGCCGCGCTATGGTCCACGATATTGACCGATAGAAAAACCGCGTACGTAGTAACGTTTTTCGCAATTTTCTATTTATGGGTTGGCGTCGCCACTCTTCAAATACTCTTAAAAGATGCGCAATTAAATTCTACGTCGAATCATATATGTTTCAATGTGGCGATAGATACCCATTAAATCGAAAAATGGCTTTTAAAGACATAAAAAAGTGCGTATTTAGGAGAAGAAAGACAGTGTTTCGTATCTAGAGATAAACAGAACGATTGCAGAAAGGCGCAAAAAGAAATTCGGTTTCTAAAAGGGGGCCGGGATTGAACTCGGGTCGTTCGCATGGGAGGTGGTGGCACCCTCTAGAGTCTGTCCCCAGTGCCCACCAGGCGTACCATCGCGGGTTCGACTCCCCTCCGGACTCGGGTTCGCGTAATTAGTTTTGCTCTTTTTTCAATCGAATTCGCTTCTCCGTTAACGTCGAAATAGTGGTGTCTTGTTCGGGTCTCTGGAAAACGGCCTTTTAAAAACATGTAGTGTTAATAATAATCATAAATTTGTAAACAAACAAAAATTACGATAAGACATTGAGAGATTGATGTATTTTACTCAACTTTTATGCTGTTGTTGACGTTTTTTCACGTTTTCCGCGGTTTTTCTATCGGTCAATATCGTGGACCACGGGGTCCCGACTATTCAGGAGGGCGCGCACGAGGGACGGGGCACTCCACGGGACGGGTGGACCGGCTGCGCGCACAGCGAACCCTGAGACCCGCAAAAGGCCTTAACAAAAGGGGCAAAAAGCGACAAATTTTCGTACTTTCTAAATGCGATAACTTTTTTTCTAGAAAAAACGGTCGAGCCGGCTTTTCGCATATGATAGAACAGACCCTAAGGCACATTTTCCAAAAGAGCTCGGAGCAAATCTGAATCAAAATAAGGAGTTCAAAACTTTTTAAGCGAGCAGAAGACCGAAAATTCACCCCTTTGTGCGCAGCGCTTTTCTTTGAATATAGCCATTTTCTGGCATCCTTTTTCGTATATTTGAATCGCCTTAGACTTGCCAATGATCAATTGCTTGCTTTTTCGGGGTTGGGGGCTGTAATGGACGAGATTGAGGCCCATCCATTTTGAGCAATTTTGAATTCTGGAGTAGTACTGAACTATTTGGCTTGAATCGACTTTGTTTGATTATCTGTCTATATATTCAGCTCTTTTTAATATCTATGTGACTTAAATGAGTACTCCAGCACCACTATTCACGATTTCCTTGTTTCTGACTCAGGAACGATATAGTTTTTGATTTTTCGGCATTGGGTACACTATAGAGGGGTTGCTGGCATCTTCAACCACTTTTTGCAAAAAAGAGCAAAACGCTCTGACGGTGCGGGGGGGTCAGAGGTATCGAACCAGCACCCCCTTCCCTGTGGCCTGTGACCGCCGCCTTAGACCACTCGGCCACGCCCCTCCCCACCCTCCGTGCGCGCTCTGAGACCCCGTGGGACCATAGCCCGGCTGGAGTCCAAATTTTAAAGTCCACGATATTGATCAGCCGAAATTTTGGCCTAAATGGCCAATTTTAAAGTCCCCGATATTCGCGATCGGTCCACGATATTTCGTATGGTCCCCGATAATTTTTATGGTCCACGATAATTTCTATGGTCCACGATATTTTCTATGGTCCCCGATATTTTCTATGGTCCACGATAATTTCTATGGTCCCCGCTATTAGGATAGAGCGGTAAATAGACTCGGAAAACGTCCAAAACCCCGGATAAAACTATCCCAGAAACCATTTTGCAAGTTTTTGACGAATTCGTGTGCTTGTAGTTTGTAGCTTGTAGCTTGTACAGTTAAATTTTATATTTGACTTAGCGCACAAAATAGCCCGAAAACTATATTGGTTCTGGACTATTAACGGGGGAGGTATCTAAGATATCTGACGGAATTTTTCGCGCATTGTAGTATCTGAATACGAAAAGGCATAAAAACATTTTTAGAAACTCAAAAACCCTCAAAATTGATGATTTGGATATATTTGCCCAAAATCAAACATTTTCGAACATTTTATGTGACTTTTATGTCTAAAAAGCTTCAGATTGTTATCAAAACGGGTTATATTTCGTTATAGAACCGTACGGAATTGCTGAGAAAATTTTGGACACCTAAACCGCTACCCACCCACCCCCCGCTAACAGTCCAGTACCTTCAATTGCCCCAAAAATTCAATAAATTAATTTTATAAACATAAAGTGCACGCTAAATGAGCAGCGGACACGTGTTGTGTGGATGGTGGGGGAATGTTCGACCCTTCAGTGTGCCTCCTCCAGCGGATAGTCCTCGACACAATGGCATTA